CCACTGATTGTGGTGTGGCGATTCTCCAGGTGCGTCGACTATATGGGGCCTTGTTTCGGCGCCAAGTTGCTCGGCTCCGACGGTGGGGCTGGCGCGCCTATGGGTCCCAATGTGCGCGTGCGGACGCGGGCGGACTTTCTGCTTGGACATCCACTATTGTTCGGAAGCATCATAACACTTGGAATCTTCCTTGTGTATCTGCTTTCGTATGTGATGGCAAAGTGTGTCGTTGCTAGTTTCGTGGCTTCACGATTGGAGTGTTTGTGCGCTGCTCAGTGTATCTCAAGGACTGAAGGCATCTCCAGGTTCAATCAAGGTGCGTCGAATTCTATTCGGGGTGAATTTTTCCGGATGACCTGCAATGTCTTATCGGTGGTGGCTGCGCTGTAAAGCCCAGCGAGCTTCCCCGTCCTTCGTGCCACAGACGCGCCTGCGCTGGTCGCCTCGGGGCCGTCATCCGCCATTGACTTCTAGGTGCTCAGTCGGACGCTCGATTTTGCGACCAGCGATGCATCCGTGGATTTGCGCGCGCCCTTGTTTTGAAGAGGATAGTGCGTGATATCAGAGCTCGCGTTCCGAAGCCCTATAAACGTGTTCCTCGTGCTTCTGGTGTCGGGCCTCGTGCTCCTCCTCCTGACTGCGATGACTTGCGAGTTCGGCTTGGGGGTTTTCTTGGAGGCCCAACTGGGTGACTTTGGGCAGGGGTTCATGGTCACGTGGCCCCAGAAGGGCGTAGGTATCCAGCTGCTCGGGGAGGTCGATGGAGATTTGGTGCCCCAGGGTCTGGGATGATATTCTCGCTGTTGGCATGTGCGAGGGGGCTTCTGGGTTTCCATGGGGCGCCCCTATGGAGTTCCGAAAAGCCGCCCCCAGCACCTTGTTAGCCGCCAGGCAGCATCGAAACGCGTTCCCTGCAGGACCGATTCGTTGGGTTCGGGCTAAACTCAAAGAAGCTCGGGCTATTGTCTTCAAGGAAGCTAGATACGTACTACTACCATCTGCAGGGTCAGTGGGATAAGTAACCGCGGGCGGGCGGTCCTTTTCCGTCGGCGTTGGCGGGCGGGGGGGGGGTCTTCTGGCATTCTTCCTGTGCTGCGATCTCCCGAGCGCGCCGGGGCGCCTCTGCCGTTTGTGTGCTGATCTCGCTCCTGGCCGTTGGGGTCGATTTCGTTTCGGCCCGGGCTTTCATCGGTTGCCTCGAGGGTCGCTCCAGGGCCGAGGGGTCGCGGCAGCCGTGGCGCACCGAAGCCGCCGAGCCCAGAACGAAGCAGGCGTTTGCGCGCATGCGTTCGGGCGGGCCGATGAACGAGGAGATTGCTGCGCTGCCAGGTTGTATCTCCAGCCCCCGGCTGGCGCGTTTCGCCCAGGAGAGGTCTCTTCGGAAGCTGGCGATGATCTTAGTCAGCAGGTCGAGCTCGTCATCCCTGACTTGCGCGCGCCTTTCCCCCGGCCGCGGTCGGTCCAGGGGCTGCGTCGCATCGGCGCGAGATTCGAGGCTTTCACGTGCAAGCCTGATGGCTTTCATCCGAAACATGTTAGCTTCTTGTCCGACCTGCGCCTGGCAGTGCAATCGCAGTTATTCCGTTCGGTTTGGTCGGCCAGGCGTTCATCCGGATGCGGCAGTTGATTGTCTTTCTCATGGGGGCGGGGCCCGTCAAAGAACGGCGGCCCAGCGGCCGCTGCAGTGGGTTTGCGATGCTCTACGGGGAGACCCACGGGGGCCCCAGCTGGGCTTGGGAGACTCAGGTTGGGTTCGGGCTTTAGTTCTGCATGAGGCGCAGCCGCAGTGCTCCCGACGTGGTCTGGCGCCAGCGCGTTTCGGCCGAGGCTTCCGCGGGGCCCCAAATGCACTGCGCGACCCTTCTCTGGGACGTCCTCGCGTTTTACAAGCACATCTGCCACCGGGAGCTCCTGGATCATGTTGTGTTTTCGAATTTCCCTTTGCATGTTCTACGCACAAGTGGAAAAGGGTGCTCCTCTTGGACGGGGCTTTCGCGGCTCCCTCGCGGCCTTCTCGGGGCATCGTTGCAGGTGGTACTTCCGCCCCTTGCGAGGCGAAGCCGTTCCTGCCTCCGACGATTGTCGGGCATCGTGGGCATCGTGGGACCAGCCAAGGGCTGAGTGTCGATGATCTCTCATTGCATTTTTGGGATCATGCTATGGGTGCATGTGTAAGTCAGCTTCATGAACTTGCCACCCGTTTAGCAGTCGCCATCGCGCCTCACCTGTCCGTTTCACTGGCTGAGGAAGAAGATGGCGACAACGACGAATTCAAGCATTCTCCTCCGAGCTGTTGTCGATGAGCTCGGGCACCTGGCAGGCCGCGGATCGCCGGCCCCTGCCAACCGCGGCTTGTCCTTCGCGGCTGGGATGCGCCAGGTGCAACCATTTGCTCGCGCAGCACGGAAAAAGAGAGCGTCCAAGTCTAAGTTCAGAGTCTCGAATTTGCCCGGCACGAAGCTCCCCACGGGAAAGGAGGCGAGCTTGTTCAAGGCTGACCCGCCCCCGACTCACTCTTTCGGCATGGATGCGCAAGGCGTCGCCCCCAACGAACTCTTGTCGATTCGTCGTGCTGCTGCGCGCGCAGGAGGGACTAGCGCGCGAGGATGTAGCCTAGGTTTGATGTGGGCCCTCGACCCCAAGGGTGACCCCATCCATCTTGTTGGGGGTTCCTTGAAACGGTATGCTTGGGGAATGGTGGCGTTCGTCGGAACCTGCTCGTCGCGGCCCTGCCCGTCGCGCTGATGCTGTGAGCTCGGGCCCCCCCTGCAAAGTCTCTAGGTCGTGCGAGTTTCAGTTTCAGGAGTCTATAGGGAAACCCTGGCCGCGTAGGACCAGAGGCCCGGCATCAGCCATGCTTCTGTGGTTGGAGGCGCGGGGGAGGGTCGTTGAAGGGCTTTGCTGCGTTCGTGGGCGCCCAAGGTCGGATAATGATGTCTTTTCACGGAGCCCCCGCCCCCCCCCCTCAGCAAGTTGCCGATGCTTTTGTGGCCGACTTGGCCCGTGCGTTTCTAGAGAAACATGTTTCTCGCGTGCTCAGTCGGTTTCCTAGGGGGCCTACCCTGGAGGCGAGGGGCTTGCGGCTCTTCAGCTTAAGGAGGGTAGCAGATCCCCCCTCCGCCACCCACCCACCCACCCCGCACACGCGCCCCCGACGCGAGCCACCTCTTCCGTCCTGGCAGGGCTGCTGTCTACAGGGAAAGCCCTGGGGACTCGGGGCTACGACGTCGAGCAGGGCTGCCCGCCGCGCATGTCCGAACCAGACGCTGTCTGGCACAGGATGCGGCGTTGCCAATGCCCCGAGGCGGTGGAGAGGAGGGAAGAGCACTTTGGCCAGGTGTTCTTGTAGCACGTGGGTGCTGCGGGCCCCGCGTGCCTTTTGTTCTCCAGACTGCGGCCATCGCTGCCAGATCTTCCTCGGCCCACCGCTGAATTGGTTGCCATTGCTATAGTCGTCGGCCCTGACGGGCAGGAGATTGAGCCTTTCAATTTTCTTTGATGGTTCGTGCTACCATGGGGAACGATCAGAGATTTCCCGCGCTGGCTTCGGGCCGTCTCGATGACTGACTCTGGCCAGCGGCTGCGTGGTATATATGGTTCGCTCCCCTCGTCCTTTGATCAGACCAGCGCCGATGCTGGACACTTCGGGCTGGCGGCAACTCCTGCGCATAGAGAACCTCCGACCCCGCCGACCCCGCCGAACCCGTGAGGGTGGATGGTTCTGGGCTCTGGCGGGTGCTGCGTCCTCGTCCAGGGCCCTCTCGTGGCTGTCTCGGTTCAGTTTCTGTTGTCGCGAGATCAGGCGTAGGGATGGTGCGTGGCCCACCCTGGAGAAGGTCAAAACACATTGGTCGCTTAGCGAAACGGTTGGCGATCGAGATTTTATGAATATTGCTGGTTCTGTGGCCTCTGATGCGTTTGCTAAGTTGGGGGCCCAAATGCACGATTTGAGCCCCCATGATCTTGGAGACTTCGAGCGTCCCGAGGCTGAGTATGGGGGCCTCGTGTCAGGAGTCGTGCAATTGCTGGGGGCCCGGCCATCCTGCGAGCAGCAATTCGGAAAGCTTTCGCGACCCTCGAAGCCCAAGGGGGCCAAACCTGTTGGACCGCAACACCTCCCTGTCTGTCACGGGCCGATCTTCGGTGTCTGCATTGTGTGAGGGTCGTGCCGGATCGGACCTCCACCCCTTGCCAATCCATGGCTCCCACTATGAGTTCCCTCCTTAGGGGGGGGGTGCGGGGACGGGACTTCCCATGGCGCTGATTTTTCTGTACGCGCGGGCGCGTGTCATAGCCGACCGGCGACTCACACAGAAAGACCATTTCGTGTTATTCGCACTCGGGAAACAAGGAGCTGCGTGCACAGGAGGAGGACATGGCGGGCGGGCAGGAGGATGAATGGGAGGAACAGGATGAGGACGCACAGCAGCAGCAGCAGCAACAGCCAGCAACAGCAGTAGCAGCAGGAACTAAAGCGGAAGGATCGGGAGGGAAATGAGGACCAGGGGAAGGCGGCGGAGGGGAAATGAGGGGGGCGACTAAAGACTCGGATTCAGAAAAGCGGCCGGCGTGGGGGCGAGACGAAGAGCAGCAACAGGAACTGGAGTGGAAGGAGCGGGAGGAACAGGAGGCCAAGGGGAAGGCCGAGGAGGGGAAGTGATGTGATGGCGGGGACCACAACGAAACAAGACTCGGATCCAGAAAAGTGGCCCGCGCTGGGACAAGAGCGCCATTCTGAACGAAAGGAGCAACGCGCCGGTCCGAAAATGACGCCCACGCTGTACAGGGAGCACCGTTTTGAATCACCGAAGACATTTGGATTGTAACAAACCGTACGAAAGATCACTGCTTGAAATCCAATGTGTGTAAGAAGCGGCGCGCGGATGGGGGCGTGAGATCATCCGGACAGTCTCAGGAGAGGAGGCAGAGCTGTGCTCATACCGTCTCATTGCAGATGTCGTCGCCGCCGTCGCCGTCCCCCCCCCCACCCTCGCCGGCAGGGCCCGCGCCCCGGCGAGTCCTTGCAGCGCCGCCTCGGCGCAGTGGGGCGGCCCGCGCCTGCCCGCCGGAGCCGAAGAAGAAGAAGCAGCGGCATCGGCGCAATCAAAGAAGGCCGCAGCCCAGCTGCCCTGAAGCGCACGCATTGGAACTCAAAGTGCGTGCCGTGATCCACGCGTCTCGCGCACCCGTTGGCCCCCATTCTGGCGAGGGTGTCGCGCCGGACGTGCGCTGACAAGCTACGTGCTGAGCTCTACAGTCAGATGCTCTACCAACTGAGCTATACGCCCCCCCAAAAAACACAAAAAGCTACGTGCTGAGCTCTGCGTCAACACGCTACGGGTTGCGTATTGCGTATCGGGACCGCTGAGCGCCGAAGAAAAAGCACCGCTACTCGCCTTGGGGGGCCCTCGTCGTTCCAGCCAGATTCGAGATTCTGGTCAGACTGCACCGTGGAAGAGGTCCGGGGCGTGGCGGATCCGGTACCCCCCCCCCCAGGCTGCAGGAACATACAAACACACGCTTTCGGAGTTCTGCGCGGACTTCTTGGGTCGGCATAAGTCAGGAGGGAAAGAGACATACAGGCACAATTAATTGGCGATTCCCCAGAAAATAGGGGAACATATAGGAAGTGGGGGGGAAGACAAATTGGAAAATATGGGGAATATTTTTATTTGTGTGTATTTATTTGTGTGTCCCAGGGCCCCTTCAATAAGGTCATACAGCGTATTGGGAGAAATCCAGACGGAGTTTTTGCCGCTTTTGGACCCTTTCGGGGCCCGCGCAGGGCCCCAGGACAGCCAAGCAACGGCTCGGGAGGAGAACGAACCAAGACATCGGGTGCCTGGGAACGCTCCGAGGTCCGCGCTGATCTCTTGGGTCGGTGCCGGGTCCCCCGTGCGCCGATCCAGGAGATCCGCGCGGACCTCCAAACGTCTGTGTTTGTGCAGCTGGCTCTTCCTCTAGGCACAGCGCCGAGCGGGCGGCGAACCAGCGGAAGGGTGGGCAGGTGAGCGACGGAAGAAAACGGGGTCGTCTTCACCGCCTTTGTCGCGTCAGCTTCCCGCGTCAGGTCGAGCGTGAGCGGCCGTTTCCAGTGTGGCATGCCGCGCTGACGACCTGCGCAAGCCACCGCGCAAGGTCGCTGCGCCATCCTCCCGAGACCCGTTTCTTTGTGTCGCCCAAGTGGCCCTCCGAGGCGGCGGCGACGCCGGGCGCGGCACGCGGAGAGCGCCAGCCCCACGCTCTCGCCGACCACTGCGGGCCGGACCAGGGGAAGCCCCGGGGCGCTCTTCGAGGCCCCAGCGGGGGGGTTAAGCGGCCCCGCCCCGGCTCGCGGGCGACCAAGAGGGGGGGGGGGGGGGATGATTACAGTCGAGTCTGATTTGTGGGTCGTTGGAGCCGGCTGGGGGTCTGAGGTGGCCCAGCATTGGTTCCGGCCAGCAGGAAGGGGGAGCAGGCTCGAGGTGCTGGGTTGGGGACCTTTTTTGTTCGGCCTCATGATGCCGTTCTCAGAACCGTCAAAAACGTATCCAGGGTGAAAAATTCACCAGATGGACCCAGGGAGGGGTCTTGGGATCGATTTTCCGGGATTTGCTTTCGTCTCGTAGAATCGGTCCCCCGGGATCGATTTTCCGGGGGCACATCCAGCTCAGACCCCCTGGCCGCCTCCAATGCCCGTGTGTCCTGTGCGTGGCGTCTCATGTCTGCTACATTGCTGGGGCAGGGGTGCTCTGGTTTAGATGCCATGTTGCCCTCTGAAGAGTCATGTGTCCTCTCGCGTGTCTTCTCTGCTATAACTCGACCGTATGTGGGAGACCCGAGCTCATGGCCCCCCTTCTTCGTTCAGCACAGCTCCTGGCCCCCCTCGTCCGCGCACATGCCTCGGGCCATGCTACCCCACTTAGGATGCAACTTCTCCGACGTTTAACTCAGCATCGGCGCTGATACATACGTGGTAGAAAACAGGCCTACTCCAGCACAGTCCCAATTAATTTCTTCAATCCCGCTGAGAGGGGATTCATCCCCGACAGAATCCGGGGTCAGTTCGGCTCAATGGACCCTCAATCGGGCTTCACGGCCATCATCGTTCTTACGAATACCTCCCAGAAGTTTCTTCCTGCCCCACCCTGGCCCGCGCACGTGGCTCGGGACATGGTTTGCTCCCCTCGACACCCAGCCTCTCGGTTTTGTCGAGACTTGGGCCCCCTACCTCTCGGCCGCTCCCCTGGTCGTTCTTTGACGGTCCCGCGGCCCGGAGTCGGCCCCCAGGGGCCGAAGCGGAGAAAAGCAGGCCGTCTCGATCTTTTTCGGAACCCCAGATGTCTGGCTTCCTGGCTCCCCCCCCTCCTGGACGCCCCACGCAGGTTGCCACCAGATTCGACTACGCGGTGCTGCTCAGCAGCGATGGCAGCGCCATGGCCTGCGGTCAGACTGGCCACGGTCAGTGCGACCTCCCTGTGCTTGGCGTTGACTTGTGCTACGTACTTCACCCGCTTCCAGCCATGCTCCTGCAGGCAGTGCTCGACGTGTGACACCGTGCGTTTCGTCACGAGTGGCGGGGCCGAGCGGTCCACAGCCAGGACGAGGACATCTACGACAAGCTGACGGCCGACCACCGCGCGGGCAGGTCTGTTGCTGGAGCCTAGCGGGTAGACGCGATCATGCTAGGGGGTCGGTTGCTCAGCAGCGTCCCTCTCGAGAATGTGGTCTCCAGTGTCTTCGGGCTGATTCGCGTTCTACAGAAAGCAGTCCCCCTCCTTTCGTTAATCCTCCTCCTGGCCTCCTGCCACCCTCCAGCCCTATTAATGTCAGTGCCTTCCTTCGTGCCTCGTGCTATCAACCTCCCTCATCTTCTTTTTGCCAATCGTCAATCATCCTCCAGTCCTCTTAGCCTCCTGTTCCCCCCACGTCCCATGTTTTTCGTCGTGCTTATTCTTCTCATTGTGGATTTCCAGAGCTGCTCACCCGCCGTGTCACCCGTCCATCGACATGTCTCCCAGGCCTCGCTGATCTTTGAAATCCCTCTTTCCCAGGCCCTGCTGCCCTTTCAAGTTCCTCTCCCCCTCTCTCCCAGGCCCTGCTGCCCATTAGGATTCCTTTCTCCCAGACCCCGCTGTCCAATCGAGTCCCCCTCTCCCAGGCCCCGCCGTTTATTCGAATCCTTCTCCTTCATTTCCCGCTGCCTGTTCAACGTCCCTCTCCCAGGCACCACTGCCTGTGCAAACTCTTTTCACCAGGCCCCGCTGCGAATACTTCCTCTCTCCGAGTCGCCCGTTCAAATTCCTCTCTCCCAGGCCCCGCTGCCCAGTCGAATTTGTCTCTCCCAGGCTCCGCTGCCTATTCAATTCCTTCTCTCCCAGGCTTTGCTGCCCATTCAAATCATTTCCTTAAAGGCCCCAGCTGCTCATTCAAATTCTTTCCCCCCGCGCCCCGCTGCCTATTCGAATCCCTCCCTCCCTCCCTGGCCCCGCTGCCCATTCAAATCCCACTAGCCAGGCTCCACAGTTCCCTTCTCCAGCACCGCTGCCCATCCAGATTCTTTCCTCCCGGGCCCGACGGCCCATGCAGATCCCACTGTCCCAGGCCGTCTTGCCGATTCGAATTCCCTCCTCGCGGGCCCCGCGAATTGCTCTCTCCTGGGCTCCCTCCTGGGCCCCGCGGTCCAGCCCATTCCTATTCCTGCCTCGCCCCCCGTGGTCAATATGACATTCCACTGCCCCTCCTCGCCCCATTACCCAGTCCATGCCGAGCCCGCGCGCTTCTCTGGGAAACCGCGCGCGGCGTCCTCGAGCCCCGGTCGAAAGCCAAGCCCGCGGATTCCTCTAGACTCCAAACGTCACGTTTTGGCTGCAGCGACCGTCCCCGAAAAGTCTGCGTCCCCAACACATCGCAAGCGCTTGACTGCGAGTGACTGTCCTTAGAGAAGCTGGTCGCGATGAAATCATACGGACACAGCGATGTGCCTGACGGTGAGTGATTGTTTCGGGACATAAAGCCCGCACGGACATACAACTATCAGAAGCGATGTGATAAGAGTGCCCTGGCCATACACGGGTCTGTAGTTCTAGCAGGGGCGCCTGTTTTGTTTCGAGGGGCCATATCTCGCTCATTGCAGAGGGGAGGCTGTGTGAAATTTCGTGCCGGCCGACTGACTGCCTGACTGACTGGACGGTTGCGACTGTACTCGCAACCGGGCGCCCGCAACCGGCCCCGCAACCGCACCTGGGCAACACATGTGGAGCTGGTTAACTAATGCCTGCAACCGCACCCGCAACCGCAACCTGGCAGTACGTAGCCCGTGACCGCAACCGAGGAGCACATGTTCGGCCGCGGGCGCCCGCAACCGCACCCGCAAGACATCCGCACCCTCAACTCGGCAGCGCGTTCTGGGCCGCGGGTGCCAGCAACCGCGCCCGCACCTCGCATCCGCACCCCGCAAACTCGTTTTTTGGCCGCGGGCGCCCGTGCCCGCACCCGAGACCGAGCCTTCATGGGGCTTGTCTCTGAGCCTTCTCGGGGTGTCTTTGGGTGCTCTTGCGCCATCTTGTGGCCGTCTTGGAAATCTTGTGGGCTGTCATCGAAAACCCTGCTGAGGCTTGCCGTGGCCTCGCTGAGGCCGTCATGGGACAACTGGGGCCATGCGGGGGCTCTTTTAGCCCAGATCGGCTAATTACCATCGCAATCATCGTCATCATCGCACCATCGCTATCATCACGTTCTCTTTTTTTTTCACCTTCGCCACCGAGACCATCACCACAACGCACCATCATTGTCATATTCCCCCACACCCGTACCCACGACGCCATTTGGGCCATTCTCACAATTGCCACGCCGCCGTCGTATTTACAAACGCCACCCCATCATTGGATGTTCCACTTCCCATCTTGCCTTTTTTATACTGCTGTACACGGCTCCCGAGGCGTGGCGCGCGGTGTTCCACCGCGACGCAGCAGCGGGGGATCCCCATTCCGCACTGTTGCCTTTGACGCGTGCTAGCTCTACTCCTGCCCCTGACTAGGAGCCACCCAGGCTTGATATACGTTTGCAGAACTGTTAGGTCGAGAACCCAAAAGCCGTTTAGAAACGGACGAGCTGCATCGCTCTCTGGGGGGTAGCTGGGAGCTGACGCTGAAGACTGGCCTCGACACCGAGCCGTTCGATGGATCTTCTAGTGCCATGTTGGCTGCGCCTTGCCCTGTGATTGCGCGCACCGTCTAGGCAGCCCTCGGTGAGGTGAAGCGTCGCTCTTCGTTCTTCGACTTGGTCGACACATGTCTATCGAGTTCGAGTGCAAGTCAGCGGCGGCTGTCATGGTGAAGCAACGGGTGAGATTTCGAAAGCTAGCGCGTGGTATGCGAGATCTTGAAAAGCGGCATCGAGGTAGGCGTTTGGAAGATCGCCGACGATGCCTCCGTCGTTGTAGGCAGCGGATGCTCTCTGCACATGGTTGTTGATCTCGGTGCCTTCCGTGGCCGGTGTATCAGGGGACACGTTGTGGCATGCATGTGGGCCCTCTGTGTGGTTATGTAAGATTTCTTATGCAGTTGCAGTAGGTGCTTCTGCTATGATTTGTCGTTCGAAGCGGTCGAGTCGAAACTGTCCTGTGATGCATGGTAATGTTGCTGCGCGGTTCCACGACTGTCCAGGCAGTCGCATGCTGTGTTTGGGCAACGTGGAGCACCCCAAGCTCACGCTCTTCCTGCATAACGAGAAGGTGCTCTCGGATATGCAGCTCCTCGAGCACTGGGTGGAGTGCCTGATCGCGGGGGTACCGGAGGACCGGTTGACATAGGGGTCGTGGGAAGTTGCGGCACAGGGATAGTGTGGGTGAAGTACGTCGCTTGTAAAGGCTGGAATCGAGCGCGTTCAACTCGCTTGCATATAGTTGTCAGAACCATTACCGGGCCTCTTGCGGTTGTGGTTTCGTGGCCAACCAACCCATCATGGTGATCATAGACATTCCGCGCTGGCTCTTGGATAATGCGCGCAGCGGTGCTGAACGGAAGGGCTGCTTCATGTACCCCTGTTGAATGCGCAACGATTGTCTTAGACTGGCATGGGAGACGCCCTGCATAATGATGCTAGAACCGTAGGTACTGCACGCAGCCCGTGGTATTTCGCGATATCTTGTGTTCATGACCAATGAAATTTCAAGCAGATACCGAGATCCCATGTTTGCCCTCACCGTCTCCCTCCTCCGTTTTCCTCATCCGTGCTCCCTCTTCCATTCCTCATCCCTCTTCCTCTTTCCTCCTCCTCCCTCCCCCCTCCTCTCTCTCTATTCCCCCCTCCCCTTTCCTCCTTTCTCCTCCTCTTCCTCTGTCAGTTCGCCGTGTGCTTTCACCGGAACGGCGCGGTCCAATCGTACACCGTGTACAAGGTCGCTACCTCTCCCAGTGCATTTGGCGCTTGCGCTTCGCTCATCTCACCACGCCGTGTTTCGCCCCCATATCTTTCTATCATATGTTGTCTTTCTCTCTCTCTCTCTCCTTCTATTCTCTCGCTCTCTTCATCTCTCCCTGAGCGTTCCTTTATAGTTTCTCCTCTTCCTGCTTTCTCCTCCTCTCCTCTCTCCTCCCCCTCGCCCTGCCTCTCCGCATTTATTCCTCCCACCACCCTCTCGCTCATCACCTCCTCGCACCCTTCTCCCTCTCTCTTTATCTCTTGTTGTTTATTGCTATTGCTTTTGTGATCCGTGTGTGTGCTATGACGACCGAGCTCCACCATCTTGGGGATGCTGGAATTGATTTTTGTGACCGGCCCACTGGGCTCGGTAGACTCTTGGGGCCACGGGGGTGGCCTCAGGCATCCTCGTGCTCCCCGCTCACCTAATGACTCCATTTCGAGTCAAGTTCGACTGGCTCGGCTCGAGTTCGATTCAAGTTATTATTTTCAAGTCGACGGACGTTCGACACAGCATCAGCGCATGACTGGAGCGAGTGGCGCTAGGAAGGTCCCCAGAACGAGCATCTAACTTTCCACATCTCTGTCTCTTTCTCTATCCGCCTCGCTCTCTCTTTCCCCTGATCTTTCTACAATATCTTCTTTTTCTCTGCCGCTCCCTATCCTTCCCTTCCCTTGCCACTCCTCACGATTGCTTCTGTTCTCGCAAGCGAGAGCAGTCACACAGGCAGGGGTTCAGATATGGTGTCCGTTTGGTCTGGAGCAGTTTTGGCCCTAGATGTTCCTCAAGTGCTTCGAGCCAGAAGTGTGTGGGGCCCTTGACGATGAGCTCGCCAGCGATGGTACCGTTCAAGCTTGTGTGCGTGTGATATTTTTGGTTCCCATCGTCCTGGAAGGCTTTGCCTCCGCGGTCCTGGAAGGTCTCTCACCGAAGTCTAGGAACGACGTTTCGTTGGTAAGCATTTTTGAGGGTTTGGGAGCTTCAGCAGCCACTATCGAAGAAATCGATGCTGCTATTCGAATGCTGACCTCCGAGGGATCGAGTGTGTCTCGCAACCAACTGAGCGCGCTTCCATGTGTTTTGTTCGTCCATCCATGTGCGAGTTCGGGCCCGGTAATTGGCATCGGCAGATATTGTAATCAGGAACCTTCGAGAAAATCCTCAGCGACCAGGCCACAGTTGTTCAGAGAGTCTCGGAGTGAATCAACCTGTTGTAAGAGGTCGGACGCTGAATCGGATTAATATGGCGTTGCATGTTGTGCACAATCCGCACAAACTGCCAGGATCTAGGGGGGCGATGTGCCATTCATTTGCCGCATTTGGTGCTGCGGCGCAGGGATGCCACAGTTTCCAGATACCTGCCCTGCTTATTCCTTCAACCAGACAAACGGCTGCGAGGTTGGATGGTATGTTGAAATCCCGAGAGGTCTCGTAGTGGAGTTGCAGTGCGGCGTGGAGGGTCCACGTTCCCATGGTGATTACAATGACAGCTTGGCATGCCTCACCGAGGCACAGCCCGATGTCTTTGACTTGTGCCAAGTCGAAGGCGCTGGAGACCCACACATGTTCGCATGATCGGTAAGTACAGGCCGGTCGTTGGAAGTAGTTTTGTTGGGGAAATTCTATTTCCCAATCTTTTTTAAGCGCCTTTTTTTTTCTATCATCGATCTGTTTTTGCTGTGGTTTGTAATTCTCTGGGATGGCCTGGACCCAATCTACTTGATCCGGCTTCCTACGTCATATTTCTACCTAATTATCCCGTCCGACGTGTATGGCACTCCGTTGCGATGCAATGTGTATCTCGTCGAGCGAAACAGCCGAACATCAGCATGCCAGATGATGTCGCATACTGCAGCTCGAGGGCGGAGCGGGTAGCAGGATCTCGTGCTGTTCCGCCTCTCGCCAGCGCCACACACATCCCCAGGACGGCAGTTTTTTCTATGAGGCTTGGAGATGATGCCTTCAGGTCTTTGCGCCGGCGCTCAGGAGATAAACCGTGGCACATCAAATTGAGTTGATGTGGATCTGAATTTGGTCGGCATTTGTGTTGCGGTGGATCCGATTGCCGTCCGTGCAGATCCGATGTCAGATGTGGTGGATATGATGTCCGTCGTGTTTTTCACGCGAATCCGATTTACACGCTGTGTTAAAGTTGTATTAGAAATTCAATCCGCGGGGCGAGGGACATCGGATCTGCGGTGCCCAGGCCCGCCGCTGTTAAGATTCTACGGGTGGGGGGGTTTTGTTACGAATTGCCACAGATGGGTCGCGCGTTTTCTCCACGGACCCAACAACACTCACCGCACTCGGGTCGCACGCAACATTAACACATCTCTTCACCCCGTGGCTGCTGCAAGCAGATTGTCCAGACACCGTGCGTTTAGCGGCGCTAGCGCTCTCTCGCCAACCTTTTATCGCCGCTGGCGCCTCAAGTGACAAATCTGTCGTCCTACGAAGTATGCCCCTTTCCCCGAACAGTGGTCGCACTAGTGTCTCTTACTTCTGCTCTGCGGAACTGTTGTGTGTGCGCCATGCTTTCGGCTCGTCGCCACCCGTGTGCGCCCTCAGTGTCGTATGAGTCTTTGTGAAGCGGTGTGTGTGTGTGTGTGTGTATGTGTGTGTGTCTATTTGTTTGTTTGTTTGTTTGCTTTCTGGGTTTCTGGTCCATTTGGGCACTTTTCGTTGGCGCCCTTTGGTTCCCGATGGTTCCGTTCAGGGGCACTTTGGTGCCGGATGGTGCTTCCGTGGTGCCCGAATGTCGGCCACGTAGAGGGCACCATACATAACACACAGCAGTGCAGACTGCAGATTGATCAGGATAGTTACTGGAATGAAGCTGACTGAAGCGGATTGAAATTGACTGGGCTGGAGTCGACTGGACTGGGCTGGGGCGGACTCTACTCCACTGCATTCTAGTCTGCTCTGTTCTGCCCGGCTCTACTCTATTCTGCTCTACTCCACCTTACACTATCATGCACTCCGTAGCCATTTTGGCTCACGCCTGCCTTGGGCGCCCGGCAGGCGAGGCACGCGACGTGCCTCTCTCCTTCTTGGGAGAGGGCGGTTCTGTCTCTTTCCCCTTCTGCGCGGCACAGGCCATTGCGACGGTACATCGCAGCAGGGCGCTGGCGGCGCTAACCCCGCCCGTGCGGGCGGCTACGGCGGGCGCGGCTGCGGGTGGCGGAGGGCGCTAGCACCCCGCCGCCGCCGTTGCGGTAACCATCCGCACGGGCGCGGACATGCTCTTCGGCATGGGGGCGGCGGACCTGGCGGCCGGCGACGAGGTCAGCGCCCGGGAGCGTGGGCCGTTCTTCGCGGGGCAGGTGGCGGCAGGCCTCTCGGGGGAGCCGCCTCGCCCGTCGGGCGACGCCAAGGCCTGCCGCGACTAGGCCCAGCAGGCCGAGTCTGGAGTGGGCGCCGAGGCGGTGCCCAGCGCTGTGCGCGAGGCCAGGCAGCGCGGCCGTGGCCCGCGGCGCCGCGGGAAGGCCGTGGCCCGCGGCGCCGCGGGAAGAACGAGGAGGAGGAGGAGGAGGAGGAGGAGGAGGAAGAGGAGGAGGAGGAGGAGGAGGAGGAGGAGGATGAGGAGGAGGAGGAGGAGGAGGAGGGTCTCGGGAAGGCGCCGCTCGCCCTTGTCCCATCCTTGCCCTCCCTGGCGGGTTCGGTCGTGCCGAGGGGAATTTCGAGCAGACGTCCACCTGGCAGGAGTCGCTGGGCGAGGAGGTGCTGGAGGTGGGCGCTGCAAAGGAGGAGTGCGAGCAGTCCATGGGACACGGGGATGTGGAGCGTGTGCAGGTCGCGCGGAAAATGGCCCAGCGGGAGGCAAGGTCCGCGGATGGCCGGGCGCAGCTCGGCGGCCTCAAGGGCGGGGAAGCGCAGGCCGCGGCCGAGGAGATGGAGGCGTCCTTCGCCGCGTCGGCCGCGGCGCTCGAGGAGGCGGAGGGCTGTGCTGCGCCGTCATGGTGGAGCGCGATGGCTTAGCCCTCCCTCGATCGAGTGGCTTGGCTGCTCAAAAGCGCGGCGGCGACGGGCGTCGCGGCGCAGGTCGGCCCGTCGCTGGATATGCAGGCCCAGGAACGCGACGTGAGTGGGGAAGTGTTTCGAGCAGCTGGGCGCACAGGAGGTTCGGATACGAATGCGTTCTGGGCGACATGCGGGGCGCTTGGCAGGTGGCGTTCGGGAAGGCCCCCCTGCGGGCGCTGGTCCGCTTTGATGGCTCGAAGGACCGGGCCTGGCCGCGGGCTTGACTCCCTCGAGGACGGGGGTCAGAGCCGCGACGGAGGCGACGACGCGTGCGTCGGCTCGTGCGCGCCAACCATGCCTCTGGCGCTGGCATGTGCTCGAGCGTGGAAGGCCTGTCGGCGATTTGGCCACGGGCTCACCCCCCTTGCGCGGGGTAGTTGATGTAGATCCGTGGCTACGCTGCCCTGCGCGACCCTTCCCTGCTCTACCCTAAGCTGTTGCATTGTGTATTCGGGTCGTCTCAACTCTACTGCACTTCTACTCTACGCTGTCCTACTCTTGCTCTGCTATCTGCACTACTCTACTCGATTCTGTTCAATTATACTCTACTCTCATCCTGCTCCACTCCATAATACTCCCCTCTGCTCTTCTCTATTATGCTCTGCTCTACCTGCTGTAGCCTGCCCGAATTAACTCTGCCACCTACCGCCCCCGCTCTATTATACTAGACCTTTCTTCACTCCACTCTTGTATGATCTACCTTGCTTTCGTATATGATTTGATGTACGCTACTCCACTCCCCTCTACTCTCCTCTACCTTACTGTACTCTACATGTTGTATCGTGCTCGACTCTACTCTGCCACCCACCGCCCCCACTCTGCTCGACTCTTCTCTCCCCTACTCCACTCTTGTATGATCTACCTTGCTGTTATATACCTTCTAGTATTTCCTATCATATATTATTGCAGTCGACTCGACTCTTTTACTCCATTGTGCTCTACTCTCTTCTGCTGGATTCAACTCTGCTCTACTCTGCCACGCTTAATCTACTTTATCACTACTCTACTCCTTTGGTACTCTATTATACTCGATCCTTCTCCATTCCATTATGTTCCGTTCTATTTCAGTGTGCTATGTTCCATTTTGTTCTACCCGCTCTATTACACTCTGCTCGACCCCAGTCATCTGGTCGTTTCCAACTATTTTCTATTCTGCTCCGCCCAACTAAATGTTTTATGCTTCTGAGCTTGGCGACTGTTGGGCACATGTTTGGGCGCCGTTGGAGTAGCCGCAGACAGCCTCTGTAATAGAAGAAGCCGCTGCAATAGCAGAGGAGGCCATTGGGCCATTGCAGCAGCAGAGGAAGTCATTGCAGCGGGAGCGGAAATCATTACCTAACAGCGAAGACTGATAGGCTTCTAGTGGTTTCAAAAGAGGGCATCATGACTCCCCAAGGGGGTCTGGGCAGATGCCGGACGGGTGCCGCGGGAATCCGGGGACTCCCGCGGGAACCCGGGGATTCCCCATTTTCATTGCCAGGAGCCACATTTTGATTGCCCGGAGCCAACAGAACACCACTCCCAGGCCACATTTTGAATGCCAGGAGCCAACTGTAGGCCACTTCGTGTTCTTCGTCTTCCCAGAACACCATTCCCAGGCCACATTTTGAATGCCCGGAGCCAACTGTAGACCACTTCGTGTTCTTCGTGTTCCCAGAACCCCATTCCCAGGCCACATTTTGAATGCCCGGAGCCAACTGTAGGCCAATTCGTGTTCTTCTTCTTCCCAGAACCCCATTCCCAGGCCACATTTTGAATGCCCGGAGCCAACTGTAGACCACTTCGTGTTCTTCGTGTTCCCAGAACCTCATTCCCAGGCCACATTTTGAAGGCCCGGAGCCAACTGTAGGCCACTTCGTGTTCTTCGTGTTCCCAGAACACCAGGAGCCAATTGTGGGCCACTTCGTGATTTTCGTGTTCCCAGAACACCAGTCCTGTGCCATATTTTGAATGCCTGAGCTGAGGCAGGCTGAGGCCGAGGCAGGCTGAGGCCGAGGCAGGCTGAGGCTGAGGCTGAGGCACGCCGAGGCAGGCTGAGGCTGAGGCTGAGGCAGGCTGAGGCTGAGGCAGGCTGAGGCTGAGGCTGGCTGAGGCTGAGGCCGAGGCAGGCCGAGGCAAGCCGAGGCAGGCTGAGGCTGAGGCTGAGGCTGAGGCTGAGGCAGGCTGAGGCTGAGACAGGCTGAGGCTGAGGCCGAGGCAGGCTCAGGCCGAGACAGGCTGAGGCTGAGACTGAGGCTGAGGCTGAGGATGAGGCCGAGGCAGGCCGAAGCTGAGACAAGGTGAGGCTGAATGGGGGGGGGGGAAGGGGGGGGGGAGGAGGGGAGGCTGAGGCAGGCTGAGGCCGAGGCAGGCTGAGGCCGAGGCAGGCTGAGGCCGAGGCTGAGGCAAGCCGAGGCAGGCTGAGGCTGAGGCTGAGGCTGAGGCTGAGGCAGGCTGAGGCTGAGGCAGGCTGAGGCTGAGGCTGACGCAGGCTGAGGCCGAGGCAGACTAAGGCTGAGGCTGAGGCTGAGGCTGAGACAGGCTGAGGCTGAGGCCGAGGCAGGCTGAGGCTGAGGCTGAGGCAAGCCGAGGCAGGCTGAGGCTGAGGCTGAAACTGAGGCAGGTTGAGGCATCCGTAGGAATCCATAGGAATCCCTAGGAATCCTCAGGAATCCGTAGGCATAGTTAAGCATCCTCAGGAATCCTTAGGAATCCTTCGGATCCCTCAGGAATCCTTAGGAATCCCTAGGAATCAGGATTCCTAAGGATTCCTAAGGTTTCCTAAGGATGCCTAAGGATGCCTTAGGAATCCCTCGGAATCCTTAGGATTCCATTGGATCCTAAGGCCGTTGCCACTGCGACTGTCATTGCGAATGCGACTGCGACTGCGAGAACACCAGAATTCTACAACTGGATTCTCACTTGAATCTTGAGGGGAATGCTTCCAGATATGGTTATACACATCGACGCAACATTGGGGAGGCACCGATTTGAAGAAGAGGGGCAGCTTTCCATCCCGAGCGCCGAGAATGCAGAAACACCAGGAAATATCCTTCAAGGCGTTGTGGGTCTGGGCGCGACTCATGATCGACGAACACATCCACGTTCACGCTTTCGCTGCCTGGATGCCGAGGCGCAGGCTCACGGATGTGATGTGCGATCCCACGGGCACGGTCCGCGCAGGGCACCCGCGCAGAGAATCCGCGCACGGGGCCGCCGGGCACCCCAAACCGCGAGGCAGCGGATGTGCACGTAGTCGAACAGGATCAGGGGGACGAACAAGTTTCCCCGGGCACCCTTGCATTCCTGCGTGTCGGTCCGTCCCAAGCTTCAGCGATAGGCTATGAGCTTCCAACTTCGGCCTCAACTCGGGCGCTTGAAGGCCTTCAATCCTTTCCGCGTGCCCTTATATGGTCCAGTCGCGCTGTATTTCCTCTGCTGGCGGCCTCTCGGCTCAGGCAGCCCCACGATCGGCACAGCTCGCTCCAGAGCGTTCTCAGGGCGTTCGGGAGCTCCGAGACGGCCGCGGCACTCGGTGCGTCTCCCCCAGCACCGCCGGATTTCAGAGATCCCCGATCTGCCCCAAGCCGATCTTGTCCCGATCCTAGCTTCGTCTTGCGACCTCTGCGACGGCCGCAGCCCCCTCGGCAGGTCTCCGAGCTGCGCTCCTTCCTGGAGGAGCGCCTTGCCATCGGCAAGAGGCTCCAGATGACGCTCCAGGCCGCTGTCGTCGCGGCCTGGCTCGGTGGAGGGATCGATAGAGGGAGGAAGCGAGGGGAGGAGGATGCGTTGCTTGACATCTTCGCGCCGTGGGACAAATCGCTATGCAATGCGTTCGGCGATGCTCGGCTTCCTGGCGGCTCTTGCTGGGCCCAGGGGCCGTCACAAAGCATCCAGGACGAGGCACTTGTCCAAGGGAAAGGGTCCCGACCTCTGGGAAGTGCGACAAAAACGTGACGTCGGATGTCTGGGTTGGATGCGTGAGCCAGCACGGAGCCCGTGAACCACCTGGCTGGTGCGTCGCACGGGCACTTCCCCTTCCCCGTCAGGCCACGGCAAGGGGCGGGGAGCGCGAGGATCTCCGCCACCCGCTCCGCCAATCCGGGCCCAGCCTGCGCCCACAGCGGTGGCCCACTGGCCAGTGGCCACTGGCCACTGGCCAGCGGTGGCCCACTGGCCAGGGGGTGGCCCCCGGCCAGGGGGTGGAACGTGGTCGCCGCCAGCGTCGCCAGCAGCGTCGTCAGCGTCGTTCCTCGTCGGCGTCGGCGTCGGCGGCGACGTCGTCGTCGTCTCGTCGTCGTCGTCGTCGTCGTCGTCGTCGTCGTCGTCGTCGTCGTTTGTCCTCGTCGGCGCGGCGGTCGTCGGCGCCGTGGTGAGGCAGGGGGGGTCGTGGGGGCAGGTGCTCCGCTGCGGCTCGGTGCGTCGGGGCCGTGACCCGCCGAGGATCACACAGCCAGGACGCCGAGAGAGAGAGAGCCGTCCGGGCTCGGAGGGGGCCCGCTGCTCCGCAGTCGCTTCCATGGCTGCTCCTCCGGCGCTCCTCGTACCTCCACCTCCACCGCCTCCTCCTCCTCCCCCACCTCCCCCACCTCCTCCTCCTCCTCCTCCTCCTCCTCCTCCTCCTCCTCCTCCTCCTCCTCCTCCTCCTCCTCCCCGTTCTTTCGGGGCCAGGGCCATCTGGGGCCTCTTTCTTTAAGATGGAGGCCCTACGGCTGGTGCCGCCGACCCTGAAAGGGGACGACGACGACGACGCTTTGGTCTCCTGGGGCCGTTCTGGGGCTTCTTTCCTCAGGTATGCGTTCCCCCTGCGGCAGTGGCTCCGGGCGGGTGGAGCCTGTGCGGTTTGCGGGCGGCGGCAGCGAGAGAGGCTGGCACTGGCGGTGAGCGGAGCCTGCCTTCCCTCCCCCGGCCCCTCCTGCCTCTCTCTTTCTCTCCCTCGGTCGTCGATCGTCGTCGCGGTCGGGCACATCTCGCTCGCGATCTCCGTGGCTGTCAGGGAAGAGAGGGTACCTTTGCATCTAACCGGCTACGTCGAATCGCTCGTTCTCGTTCTCGTTCTCCTTTCGTTTGCCCCCTCCCTCCGAATCCGCGTGCAGGGAAGGAGTCTGCCATGGTGAGCGCCTGTCGGCTTCTGCCCCCGACGCCGCGACTGCGGCCTCGAGCCCCACGAGCAGCCCGACCTTGCACGGTGCCCACGGGTGCTCCTGGCCTGGGCGCGGCAGTCCGAGGGTGCGGCCCCCTCGCTCACGGCCGAGGTTCCCCGCCTCGGCGGGGGCTCGCGCATACCACCGGTGGCCCCCGCCGCTTGAGCATTCTGCCGCCAGTCACCAGACCTCGGCTCGCAGAAGAGAGGGGCCCCCTGGGGCCCCGAAGGTGCACGAAGGGTGCACCTTCCATCGCCCCCCCAGTGATGGCCCCGCCGTTGAGCAACGCCCGATGAGCGATGTGTCCGGAAGGTTCGGGGGGGGGTCGGGAGGCTCCAGACTCTTGATGGCTCGTAGGTGGAGTCGGCTTGTGTAGGGGGATGGGGAGAACGATGAGGATGAGGATGGGGAGGGAGGATAGGGAAAGGTGAGGAGGGAGGTATGAGGCGGGGCGAGTAGAAGAATCTGAACATATGTTATGGAGGTGGTGCAAAAACACCATTTCTGGGAATTCGACTCAGACTGCTGCGTCATGACATTCCTAGACCGCTTAAGAATGCCATCCCTGGCATTTTCACGCTGTGAATCAACGTGACTGTTTCCAGGCAGTCCTAAACGGTGCCAGGATACCATTCCTGGGACTTCAACCCCACGAATCCTTGAAACAGCTTCAAGCTTTCAAGATGAGTATGCGCGGGACAGAGGCGAGAGCCACATTTGCAAGAGAAGCCACCCTCCATCTTCGACTCTGTTACAGCAAAGTGCGGCATCTTGAAAACGGGCCGCCCTCAATCCTCGAAGCTGTTGCACACTTTCATGACGAATGTGTGCACCGCTAGGGCGAGAGCCACATTTTGAAGACGGGCCGCCCTCAACCCTCGAGACTGTCGCACACCTTTGAGACGAAAGTGCGCGGCGCCAAAGGCGAGAGCCACATTTTGAAAATGGGCCGACCGCCATTCTCGACTTCTGTTGCAAACTCCACTCTTCAGGGTCTTACATGGTGGGGAGGCCTCACGCGAAACGCCCGGCCCGCCCTAATGACACGTCTGGGTGTGCGACAGAGAGGAGTTGTTTATCAGGAACAGGAATGGAGGAGGAGGACGAGGAGAGGGGGGAGGAGACAAATTAGGAGGGAAGCGGAGGGTTGCAGTGAGAAGGAGGAGGATTCTAAGAGGTTTCATGCTATTGTAGGGTGCTAAGAGGTTTCATGCTATTTCATGTCCAGCGCCGCCGCCGCTACCGCCGACGCTGGGCCGCGTGGCCGCCCTGCGCCTGGTGTACGGCGCTGGACCGCGGCCGAGCGACCTCTGAGAGGTGTGTGCCGTGAAAGGTGTTCTTGGCTGCTTCAGGGCGGCGGGGGTCAGAGCCCGTTCGCCGACAACCGCTTCGCCGACGGATCACTTCGGGCATGGGTCAGCTGTCCGAGCTGCACGACGAGCCCGCCGAGGCATCAGAGCACGGCCACCGGCGTGACCGCCTGATGCAGGCGCTCCGGCGCCTCTCCCCCGGCAGGCCCACGGCCGTCCCTGCCGTGAGGAATGCGCGCGGCGAGATCGTGACGGATCCAGACGAGATGGCCGCAGCGCTCCGGGCGCCTTGGTCGTCAGCATCCGCTTCCTGTCATATCGACCGCCGACTCCTTCGGGACTGGTTCCGCGAAGATGCCTCTTCTGTGGGTCTGCCGCCGGTGGACAGCCAACTCTGGACGCCCACTCGGGATGACGCCTGGGCTGCTGTGGAAGCTTCGCGAAGTTCCGCGCTGTGGCCTGACGGATTGCCGTTCCTCGCTTGGCGGGTGCTGGGTCCGCTGGCCGTGAACGTCCTGCAGGCGCGTTGCAGCATCTGGCGTCTGACCCTGGTTCCCTCGAGCTTTCGGAGTTCTTGGCAGGGCCCTCTGCCCCTTTAGCGTTCAGAAGCATCATGGCACTCCTTCCAGAGGCGCCCTCGGGCGTTGACGAACAAGCTGGCGAATTCTTCGACCCGGGGGGCACCATGCCGTTGAACATAGTGAACTCGGACAGTCGTATCCTCGCGAATGCCTGCGTCTCAGGATTCGATCAATTGCTTGTATCTTGGATATCACCAGGGCAGCGAGGCTTCGTTGGCGGCTGTTCCATGCTGGATAATTCGGATGAGGATGACGTTGCGATGATGCAGTGCGCCCTTTGCGACGAGGCAGGGATGGCGGTTTTCTTTGATTTCAAGGCCGCCTTCCCGAGTGTCGCTCATGGCTTTCTTCGGGAGGCCCTTGCCGCAGTTAGTCTCTCCCGTGACTGCTACGGTTCGTGGCCGCTCTTTACCAGAAAAATGCGTCATTGTTGCTGGTGGTCAACAACAGCGTGGTTTTCAACTTCTCACTGGCATACGGCAAGGATGCCCACTGTCACCGCTGCTTTTTGCCGCCGCGGTTGGCGTCCTGCTCCGGAGGATCACGCGGCTGGTGCCGTATGCATGTGCGCGCGTACGCTGACGATATCGCTGTGATGCTCCCTACAGGCACTGCTTCTTTCGCCGTCCTCGTGCAGATCTTCGAGGAGTTCTCCCGGATTTCGGGGCTGCGGCTGAACGTGCGCTAGACGGTGGCCGTGCAGTTGTATCCATGTGGTCTGGTTGGGGTTGCAACGTCGATTGCGGTGAATTTCCCGCCGTGGGCAGGAATTTGCGCGGCAGGGTTCGCGAAGTATCTTGGCCTTGTCCTTGGCCCAGATCGTGGGCAGCGTGCGTTCGCCAAGCCTCTGGGCAAGTTCTTGGCACGCGCTCGGGAGTTGGGCGGCGCGGGAGGTGGTCGTTTCCTCATTGTGCTCGCCTACAGGGTGTACATTCTGCCTGTTGTCACCTTCTTACGGGAAAATTGGACGAGCTTCCTGACACGCGGGAGAACTCTCAGGAGGCCGCCCTGCGTTCCATGTTCCCGGGCCCCGGTGCGTGATGCATACAGTGGGGGCCCATGCCAAGAAACACCTTGCTCGCCTCCAGGGTGCCCTGGGTTTCTTGGGTTTCGATGGTTTTGCGGTGGAAGGCGTGACTTTCAAACGCCAAAATTCAATAGACGTCCTGGGGTCTCAGGGTTGGGTTTCTTGTGAAAGGTTTCTTGTGGTCGGGCTCCCACTGTAGCTGAAGACTTTCACCACTCACAGGAAATATGTTTCCCGCTGTCGATCCCCGACGCTACCCAGCTTTTGTTGGCGATTCGCTTCTGGGTAGTGCACTGCGAGGCCTCCGCCGAGGGGGGCCTAGCTGTACGAGCGAGGGCGCAACAACTGAGAAAGTGGATGGGTGGCACAGAACACGTTGATCGATTGGCCATATGACACTTGCGGTTCCATCGCGCATTCATATTTTCAGTCGGACGAATCCCTAGCGCACTACGCGAGGCTCGGTGTACAACCACAAAACTTGGAAGACCAGCTGGTGCAGGGTGCGTCTCGTCCTCTCCACCGCGGGGTAGCAATGGCAGCACGTCGCTCTTTCCAGCGGGCGGCCGTGGCGGCGCTACCACACGGCAGGCGCGCATGGCTGGAGGTTCGTGCCCGGCGCAAGTTGGCCAGGTGGAGTGTCACGGAATATCCGCGCATTTGTGCCCAGCGCTGGTTGGATGGCCTGCGACGGTTGGCGTCTTCAGTCCCGACCCGGGTGCTGGCGCCCGTATGGCGTATTGCGTGAAACGGCGGGATGACACACTGCCGCTTCCCTGACAGCAGAGGCGTCTTTAACATATGCATCTTCTGTGGCCCTTCTGGATCCGATGCCATCGAGCATTTCGCCGAATGTCCAGCAGTATGGCGCTTCGCTGCTGCCAGTCTGGGGGGGGCTGCGCCGGCAGGGTACACGAGCCGCATGTTTGTCATGCTTTCTGTTGCTGGATGCGTCTTCGCCTGGGATCGACGTTGCGCCAGATGCCTTTGCAAGGGAAGCGCTTCCGACAGTCGCTGTGCACAGAGTGCACAGTCTTGTTCGGCACCGCACCGTAGGCGCAGGGGAAGCAGCTTCTGAGGCGCTTCTCCAATCTGTTCGGGAGCTCGTACGGGGCCATGCGGCTGCTCGGCGAGCGCCCGGACACTGGTGCTGATCTTCTGCGGCGGAGCCTTCTCCTTCGAAAGCGTCGTGTCCCCATCTTCGGACAGCACCTCTCCTACGAGTCCTACTTTGGCGACGACTGCAACTACGCCCTTCTGACAGGTCTTCTACGTTCCCGTCTACTTCCACTCGTGAATCCCTGAGGCGTGCGATGCGGTGCCAGGAATTCCGGCCACGGTCGCAGGACAGCGCTCCCGCGGGCTGCTTGTTTCTGTGCATCCGTGTTGATTCGTAAGTTCGTCTTCGTCCTCCTCCTCCGCCTCCTCCTCCTCCTCCTCCTCCTCCTCCTCCTCCCTCCTCCCTCCTCACGCCTGACTGGTGTCGCCTTGGTTGTGCTTGCCAGCTGGACGATGCGTCTGCGAGCCGCTGACTGCGAGCACGCGGTCGCCTCCCTTGTCCAATCCTTCCTCCTCCGCCCCTCCTGCGTGTCCCCCTCTTCGGTCGGCCGCGTGGCTGGTCAGCAGATGGCGCCGTCGCCCAGGGGTGCGGGATTTGTCCTCTTCTGCATAGTCATAGCGGTCCGTAGTCGCGGTTGGCAGCCCATTTGCGCCAGTCACGCGCTTCCCCCCGGGGGCCCTACGCTGCTTGTGGCCCCCCGCGGGGGGGGGGGGCGCCTGCGTTTGTCACAACGGCTGCGCGGCGGCTGAATTGATGGATGTTGCTGGCGTCTGCGCGGCGGGCACACGTCCTGGGCTTCAAGACTGGCTGAGGTAAATTTGGCTGCGAAGCCCGTCGGCGTGCGAGTCGAGGCGACTCTTCGCGTTTTCTCTCTCGCCCTCCCTCCCCCCGGGTGGCCTCTTAGTCAGTCCAGGCTGGCAGGTCTGAAGCTGTCCCGGCCGCGTGGCCGATGGACCGTGGGAGGCGGTCTGCCCTGGACTCGGTCGCCGCCCGATGGTGGACGCCGGCGCATCGCCCGTTTTCGGGGACGGCAGCCACTCGTTTCGTTGCAGGTCTTATTTTCGGCCACTCTCGCACGACATAGTGTTTTGCCGCCGTGCGATTCTCCTCCTCCCTGTCCTCCCTTCCTTCGGCCGCTTCTCCCCCGGCTTCCGCCTTCCTCCTCCTCCTCCTCCTCCTCCTCCTCCTCCTCCTCCTCCTCCTCCTCCTCCTCCTCCTCCTCCTCCTCCTCTCTCCTCCTCCTCCTCCTCCTCCTCCTCCTCCTCCTCCTCCTCCTCCTCCTCCTCCTCCTCCTCCTCCTCCCCTGTCCTCCCTTCCTTCGGCCGCTGCTCCCCCCCCGTCCACCTTCCAAGGGAATTTGCGGCTTCCGCCGACTGCATGCGTGCGCGGCGCGCGCCGTCGGCCCGGCGACCGCGATCGGCCGACCTCGGGGCTCTCCGATGCTCCATGCTCGCCCTGTCTGCTGTTTCGTTGCCTGCGTGCCCACTGCGTGGATGGGTGCCATGTCTTGGCGGCACCTTTTTGCATCATTAGGGGGCAGACAAACCTACCTCGCTTGTGACCAAACTACGGCCTGTACTGGTCAGGCCGCTTGACGAGGAGGCTCGTGGTATGACTTGGTTTTGCCTGGAAGCGAAAGCGGGGGAGGTAATTCACGCTCTGAATCATACTTGTCTCCACTTTCAGTTCTGACTTGTTGGCGAGTGCTCGCACCCAACGTGCTTGGCATGGCAACGGTTCATCTCATGTTTGTCTCGCTTCCTCCCTTCCTTTCGCGTTCGTCCTCCTCCGTCCTCCTCCCGCTTCCGCCCCTGTCTTGATAGGATTATGGGGACGCTTCCTGTCAGTCACGTGGCCGCACGGGCTCCAATTTAGTTTGCGCTGCACGCCTTCCTTGATTGAGTCGTTGTGTGAAGCCTCATCATATAAGTGGTCGTCGGGACCACCTGCGGTGGGGATTGATGCGAACACGGTGCCTCAGTTTGTTCGTGATGCGACGGGCGCGCGCGCAGGTTAACGGTCAGCATCGAAACGTGGACGTGTGGATGTTGTCGTGCAACAAAGATCGCCGACGGACTGTTTCGCCTGGACCGTTCCGCCGATGACCGATTGCTGACGGACCGTTTCGCCCATTCCCCGAGGACCGTTTCGCCTGGATCGTTTCGCCGACGGACCGTTGGGCCGACGGACCCTTTCGCCGACGGACCGCTCGCTTGCGTGACAGCACGCCCGCTGTAATGTCCGCCCGCCCGTTCAGGTCCGCCTGCCTGCCCGTTGGGGTCCGCCCGCTGGTGTCCCGCCCGCCCGCCTAATTCTAGAGTCTGCCCACATCTGCCCGCCCGCCCGCCCGCCAGCGAACCAGTCTTTGGCGAACTGATCCGCTTGCAAAGTGGTCCTCGGTGAACTGGTCCGTCTTCGAACTGGTCCGTCGGTGAAGCGGTCCTCGGCGAATCGGTCTTCGGCGAACCAGTCAGGAGTGTCCGTACTGCGGGCTGGGCCTTTCGCCTGATATTCTTCTGCCGCTCAGGACCCAGAAGCTTCAAGTTCAAACGGTTACGAGGGGGCCGGGTAGTTTTCAAAATGTGGTCTCGCCTGAGCAACCCGCTTTTTCGTCGTAGCATGTTGCAACATAGCGTTTCCTCATGCAAATGCGGTTCTCGCTTCGGTGCCGCGCATCCAGCAGCTGCAAGCATGGAGGGCGGGGTGGTTCTCAAAATGTGGTTCTCGCCTGGGCGCCGGGCAAATACGTCTCAAGGACCTCTAAAAGTTCGAAGGATGGAGGGCGGTCTGTTTTCCTAACTGGCCAGGAAGCTCTTTCTTTTAAAGCTTGTTCCAACAGCTGCAAGGATGGATGGCGGATGGTCTTCAAGACGTAGCTGTTGCCTGCGCGCTATGCTAATTCGTATTTCAAGCATCCAGTAGGTGGACGGAGGGCAGCTCCTGTTCCAAATCGGGATCTCTTTTGAGGCGTCCTCAATAACTATCACAATGAGTGTACAGTTGTGCAACAGCTACATGGATGGAGGGCTGTTCTTTCTTCTTGTTTGCAAGGGGGCTGTCGCTTGAGACTTCCGTAACGATGGTGGCCAGCGGAGGGCGGCTCTTTGTCAAAACGGTGGTTTCCTTGAACATATCCGTGGGCTTGGTGCATGATCTTACCTCTTCGCACTCCTCATTCATGGCTAGCAGCATGGAGGGTAAAGCTGGATTCGACTGAATGGCGAGTAGCAGGACAATGGGGCGCTCGCCTGTCATCTGGGGGTCTCCTCCCGCAGCGAGGAGGAAAGCCTGTAGGGACTCATGCCGAGGGGGCTTGGGGCGGGAGGGCGTACTGCCACATCCTTGACGCGTCCTGATTTTGCGCTGGTCCTCTTCCCCCTCCTCGTCCTGGGCCTTCTCCTCCTTCTCCACCTCCTCCTCCTCCTCCTCCTCCTCCTCCTCCTCCTCCTCCTCCTCCTCCTCCCCCTCCTCCTTCTCCTCCTCCTCCTCCTCCTCCTCCTCCTCCTCCCCCTCCTCCTCCTCCTCCTCCTCCTCCTCCTCCTCCTCCTCCTTCTCCTCCCCGTCCTGGGCCTTCTCCCTACTCCCCCCGCTTCTCCTTCCAAGCTGCTGGCGCTGCCCCACCCCCTCCTCCTGCTGCTCCCCCCCGAGGTCCTCCGGTGGATCAAGCGGCAGTGCTGCCTCGAGGGCTGCACGTACTGGCTCTCGAAGGCGAAGAGCGAGCCCAGGCTGAAGCTCTTCAAGCTCTGCGGCGCGGCCTCGGCCGAGGGCTCGCAGAAGAAGGCCCGGAACAGCTGATCCGCCCTGGGTGTTGGAGCCGGCCGGGGGGCCAAGGTCGCCGAGCACTGGTTCTGGCCAGCAGCGTGGGGAGGAAGGAGCCCTCTCGTCGCCACGGCTGGACGCGGCTCGAAGGCTCGTCAGTTTCGACCCTGGGAGGGGTCCGGGGACCGATTTCGAACGGAAGTGCCCTCGCCGCCCCTCTTGGCAGATCCTCTCGGGGCCCATCCGGTGCATACCCTCCGGAGGCTTCCAGCCTCGATGTTACCACCCTGGAGAATATCCCTATGCTCATGATTGGCATCGCCAGATCTCGATGCTAATGTCAAGTACTCCCTCAGTTTCTGAGGGCGCAACCGTACGATTGTCATTGCATTTGGGCTTGTCAATCTTAGGGACAGGGTTGGGCGGGACCAGGACGAGGATAAATCCGTTCCAGAGAGTTCCCGAACGCTATCAGAGCGTTCCGGAATGCTCTGAGAAGACCGCGGCGCCCGAGACATCTTCCAGAGCCGCCAGATCTCTTTTATCCTCGTCCTGGCCTCGTCTTGATAAGATTGAGGCTGGTTATGGATGGCCAATCCTCAGATTTCGGCCCCGCCAGCGCCTGGACGGCGCGGCCCTCTGGCGTTCCGGGCTGTGAGCGGACAAAGCACTCCGTTTCGTGAGGGCTGACGGCCAGAGCTGCTGGCCCCATCTTCGGGAGGGCGCGTCTCGAGCCGGGTCGATCTTTAAGGGTCTCGGCGCCGGGAATCGGGGCGGGAAGGCACGCCGTGAGTTTTCAACGACGGCAGGATCTGAGGATTTGCTCTCAGGGCGGCTCAGCGGATGTGTAAAAAGGTCGGGCTTGTGGAGAAGCTGCCCATGCTGTATCCGGTGTTGGGGAAGGCCGCCGTGCAGTTTGCCCGGCAGGGAGGACGAGGGAGAAAGCGGGAGGACTAAGGAGGATAATGATGCCGAGGAGGAGGGGAGGAGTAAGAACGGATGATGGTGACGGTGATGGTGGTGTTAGTAGTGGTGGTGGTGGTGATGATGACGATGCTGATGACGATGATAATGACGAAGACGACGACGACGACGAGGATGATGCTGATGATGATGATGCTGATGATGATGATGCTGATGATGACGATGACGATGATGATGATGATGATGATGATGATGATGATGATGATGATGGTGGTGGTGGTGGTGGTGGTGGTGGTGATGATGCTGACGATGCTTGTGATGTCAGTCCTGCTGACGATTCTGATGATGCAGGTGGTGGTGATGTGGAGGATGAAAAAGAAAAGGAATAAGAGCCGCATTACCGGAGCCCGTAGCATCGATCATCGAGGAACCGCACGATCGAGAGGACAAGGACAATGGGCAGGACGAGGAGGACGAGGAGGAGGGTGTGGGGTTGGGAAGAGGGGAGAGCGGCGGAGGATGAGGACGATGAGGGGGTTGCGAGGCCAATGAGGGGGATGGTGATAATGAAAGTGATACTGATCAGTACGATGACAGCGATGATGATAATGATGATCTGGATGATGATGGTTATGATACTGATGATGGTGCTGATGATGACGACGACGCCGATGCTGCTGCCGATGCTGCTGAAGCTGATGATGCTGATGGTAATGATGCTGATGGTGATGACGATGGCAACGACGGCGAGTATTATGATGATGCTGCCGATGCGACTGCTGCTGCTGTTGCTGCTGCTGATGATGATGATGAGGTTGGTGTTGCTGGATGGTGGTGATGCTAAATATGGCGATGATGATGCTGATACTGATGCTGCTGATACTGATGACTATGATGCTGCTGATGATGCTGATGATGATGATGCTGACGATTATGAAGATGATGATGCTGATGATGATGGTGATGCTGCTGATGATGGTGGTGCTGCTGCTGATGATGATGCTGATGACGGTGATGATGGTGGTGGTGGTAGTGGTGGTGGCGGCGCTGCTGATGCTGCTGCTGATGATGCTGATGATGATGATGACGACGATGCTGCTGTTGTGATGATTGTGATTGTGACGGTGATAGTGATGATGATGGTGATGTTGATGATGATGGCAATGGTGGTGGTGATGATGAGGATGATGACGATTATGAGGAGGAAAGCCATGGGGCAAGGCCTGAGAGGCTGGGGGTGGCGGCGACTGCGAGGAACTGGTGGTGAAGAACACGTTCCTCGACTGGCCGGACGAGGAGGATGAGGCGGACCAGGTCGAGGGGGAGCAGGCGGAGTGTGCAGGCATCCGCTCGCAGTCGCGGTCACCGCTGGCGCCGTTGTCATCGTCCAGAGGCTGCTGGAAGTTTCTGGAAGCCTAGAAACGGCCAAGACCGTCCAAATGTCTCGCGCGTCGTCCTCGCCATTGCTGTTGCCATCTCTGCCGCCGTCGCCGTCGTCGCCACCGTCGCTGCAGCAGTCGCCCACGCCGTGCCGTCGCCGTCGCCATCACCGTCGCCTTCGCCGTCGCCGTTGCTGTCACCGCCTCCAACATAGTCGTCGTCGTGGTCGTTGACGACGTCGTCGTCGTCTTCGTCGTCATCGTCGGTGTCGTCGCTGTCGTCGCCGTCGCCGCTGTCGCAGTCGTCGTTGCCATCGCCGTCGCCATCGTCGCCGTCGACGTGGCCGTCGCCGTCGCCGTCGCTGTGGCCGCTTCGTCGTCGCTGAATGATGCTGTCGCCGCAGGGCCGGGACAGGGTGAGCGGGCGGCTCGCACCGTCGCCTCCCTTCTCTTTCGCCGTCGCCTCCTCTTGCCTTCTCCTCGCTTCTCCTCGGCGTGCTTGTCGTCGCCATCGTAGGCGGCGTTGGCGTCGGTGCCGTCAGCGTCGCTGTCGTCGTCGTCGTCGACGTCGTCGTCGTCATCGTCGGCGTCCGCGTCGGCGACGGCGATGGCGTCGTCGTCGTCGTCGTCGCCGTCGTCGCCGTCGTCGTCGCCGTCGTCGTCGCCATCGGCGTTGGCGTCAGCGTCGGCGTTGGCGTCGGCGTCGGCGTGGTCGTTGGCATCGCCGTCGACGTCAGAACTGTCGACGTCGACGTCGTCTTCGTCGTCGAGGCAAAAGTCGAAGTAAAAGTCGAAGCTGTCGCCGCCGCCGCCGCCGCTGCCGCTGTCGTCGTCGTCGTCGGCGGCGTTAGCCTCGGCGTCGGCGTCGGCGTCTGCGCCAGCGTCGCTGGAGTAGTCGTCGAGGCCAACGTCGAAGTCAAAGTTGAGGTTGTCGACGCCGCCGCTGCCGCGGTCGTCGTCGTCGTCGTCGTCGACGTCGGCCTCGTCGTCGTCGTCGTCGTAGACGTGGTGGTGGTCGTCGTCGAGGCCGAAGATCGAAGTAAAAGTCGAAGTTGTCGCCGCCGCCGCCGCTGTCGCCGTCGTCGTCGTCGTCGTCGGCGACGGCGGCGTTAGCTTCGGCGTCGGCGTCGGCGTCGGCGTCTACGTCAGCGTCGCCGGAGTAGTCGTCGAGGCCGGCGTTGAAGTCAAAGTCGAAGTTGTCGCCGCCGCTGCCGCCGCGGTCGTCGTCGTCGTCGTCGTCGTAGCCGTAGTCGTCGTCGTCGTCGTCGTCGTCGTCATTGTCGTCGTCGGCGTCGACGTCGGCCTCGTCGGGGGTGTCGTGGTCGGCGTGGTCGTCGTCGTGGTCGTCGTGGTCGTCGTCGTCGTCGTCGTCGTCGTGGTCGTCGTCGTCGTCGTCGTCGTCATCATCATCGGTGTCGGCGTTGGCGTTGGCGCTGGCGTCGGCGTCGGCGTCGGCGTCGTCGTCGTCGTCGTCGTCGTCGTCGACGTCGACACCGAAGTCTGAGTCAATGTTGAAGTCGTCGTCGTTGTCGTCGTTTCTGTTGTCGTCGCCGCCGCCGCCGTCGCCGTCGCCGTCGTCGTCGCCGTCGTCATCATCGAGGCCGAAGTCGAAGTCGAAGTCAAAGTCGGAGTTGTCACCGCCGCCGCCGTCGTCGTGATCGTCGTCGTCGGCGGCGGCGTCGGCGTCGGCGTCAGCGTGGCTGTTACCGTCGTCGAGGCCGAAGTCGAAGACAAGGTCGAAGTCGGCGGCGCCGCCCGTCGGCGGCGGCGGCGGAGTCGGCGTCTGCGTCTGCGTCGGCGTCGGCGTCGGCGTTGTCGTCAGCGACGTCGAAGCCCAAGTCTGAGTCATCTTCGAAATCGTTGACGTCGTGGTCGTCGTCGTCTTCGTCGGTGTCGTCGTCGGCGTCGTCGTCAGCGTCGTTCTCGGTGTCGGCGTCGTCCTTGGCGTCATTTTCATCATCTTGCTTGTGCTCCCCCTTCATGCCTCATACCTCCTCCCTGCTCCCTCTACTTTGTCATCCGTCCTCGCTCTTTCGCCATTTCTCCTCCGCCCTGCCCCCTGTCTCCCTGATCACACCACCCTGCTCCCTCCTTCCTCTTCTCTCCTCCCTCTCTCTTCCCCTTTTTCTTTCTGCCCTCTGCTCCCTCATCCCTCTTCGATCCTCCGTACTCCCTGTCCCCTCCCGCATCCCTGCCATCTACTCCCTCCTCCTCCTGCTTTTCCTCCTCCTCCTCTTCCTTTCCTCATCTTCCTCCTCTACCTCACCTATCCTGTCCTCCCTTCCCCCCCTCCACCCTCCAAGATTCGAGGAGGGATGGGCTGGAGTTCCGGGATGGAGGAGGAGGAGGAGGAGGAGGAGGAGGAGGAGGAGCATGATGAACAAGCGATTCACAACTTTCTGGCCTTGGGGAGCGCTAGCGCCAGCGAGGACGAGGCGAGGTGCCTTTCCTGCGGAGGATCGCTTGTGGGCGCCTGGCATCAGGCGGCGCCCGGGGCAGCTCCGCAGCGACTCTGACTACTGCCCTGAATCACGCGCTTTTGTCGAGGGAACGCAGACATGGGTCGAGGCGCGTGGCTCAGCGACGGGTCCCGCTCCCACGCAGAACTCGGCGCGCGCCGTTACCAAAACAGGCTGCACCGGCGTGCCAGACCCACGGATCTCTGCGCCCGATTCTGGGCCAGGACCTGGCACCACCAGGAGCTCTGTGAGCGAATCGCGCCCACACCGGCCACCGGCCCGGGGTAGCGCTTGCAGTACGGCGCGCCGAGCTTCTCGGTGTCCCTGTGGCAGAGGCGTCAAGTCCCGCAGCAGGCATGTCGAGGACGTGCGGCAGCGCGTGCATAACGAGTGCGGCAACCACGCGGTCCGACGGGTCCTCGCCCTGGCCTGGGAGCGGTGCGCTTGGAGCTGCCAGGCCTGCGGCGCTCGGGGGGCAGGTCACAAAGATCTGGCCCCTGCCACGGATGCGGCCAGGCAGTCGGCGCCCGCCGAGAGGAAGACCTCCTCAGCACGTAGAGGCACAGCGATTTGCGGCCCGCGTATGTTTTTAGAAGATGCAGTCCAGTGCGCGGTGCCTGGAGACGCGGCCAGCTTGGCCAAACACGGAGGCCGCGACCAGCGAGGGTGCGGTCCACGAGGACGCAGAAGCCGACAAGAGGCAGCGCTGCCCTACAAGTCGCTGCCCGTGGTCGGTGATCCCGCGCGCGCGAGGCAGGCGGGCGGCAGGGCAGCCCCACGCCACCTCAGCCAGCCAGCCGGCGGCGGGGCGCAGTTGGTGGGCGAGGGTAGGGCAGCGGCGGTCGCCAGCTTCCTGGCACAGCACTGGGGCGCTGAGCTGTCCGCGGCGAGCATATCACAACGGGAGGTTTTTGGGAATTGTCCGCCTCGGGGCTCGGGGGGCCCCTGCCGGGCCCTGGGACAGTGACAAAAACGGTTCGGGACGCAGAGCTGGTCGCGTGGAAAGGGTCTAGACCTTCAGGGGCCCAGGTTGCGGAAAAATATGACGTCGCTCCAACGAGCTACAGCCCGCCTGCTGCGTACGGGTCTCGGAGGGGGCCGTGATGAAGGCGCGGCCGCCCTCTGGGAGGCGATGGCAAGTTGGGCCTGTCAGTGGTGTGCAGTCTGTTTTGTGGTCAGGAAGGAATTGCATGGGATGCTTATCTGCCTCGCGCAATGCTTTCTATCCGCGAAGCCGCGCCCCACTCGCCGCCACGCGAAATGTCGTGCTCCCGTTTTTTCAACCCGCGCGCACGAGCGAGCGCATTGCGCGCGCGGCATGCGGCGCCGTCGGATGCTGCTAATATGTGTAAACCGCACGAGACATAGATTCGTGTGGAGACGTCGCGCGCGCAAGGAAAATCCTTTGTGCCCTCGCCGCGAGCATTGCGCACTGTTCTTAGGCTCCCCAGAATGGAACGAAGGCCGCACCAAACAGCAAACTCTCTCTCAGTGCGCTTTCTGCTGCAATACTTGGCTCCAACAAAAGTTTCCGTGGAAACTCGCAAGCGGAAGAATCTGTACGTATACCCGTCAGCAAGATGAAAAGTCGCGCGCGCGTGCTCAGCGCTCCCACGCACGCGATCCCAAGACGCCCCATGGCCACCACATGCTTCCAGGAGGGCCTCAGGCCACGGACGATAACGTCCAGACGGCCCCAGGAGGATGTCACCCCAACACGATCCCGCCATGGATTCTGGACTGTTTCAGGCCGACTCGCAGATGACAAAACACATGAGCAACGCGTGACGCCGAGATGGCCCGATGGCAACAAGATGGATCCAAGCGCGCCCAAGGTGGCCCCATAATGACCATGCGACGACTGCGTGATCCAAACGCGACCGGGAGATGATCTCAAGATGACTTCAAGACGGCCCCAACACGGCAAGGATACTGCAACTTAAAAGACTTATGACCCCCACTTTACTTCGAGCCGATCCCAGCATGGCGGGATCCGTGAACGACCCGGGATTTTACTCTACCCCATTTTTCCCTACCTAGGCTCTGCCTAGAAGGGTTATTACTCTCTAGCTTAAAGGGGCCGGGCAGTGGAAAGCGCCCCGGGCGGTTCCCCCAGTCCCCGCCCCGCGGTTCCCCCCAGTCCCCTGGGAGCTTTAGCTTTAGCTTTAGCTTTAGCTTTAGCTTTAGCTTAGCTTTAGCTTAGCTTTAGCTTAGCTGTAGCTAAGCTTTAGCCTAGCGTTTCGCTTAGCGTTTCGCTTAGCTTTTCGCTTAGCCTTTTGCTTAGCTTGAGCTTAGCTTTAGTTTAGCTTTAGCTTAGCTTGATCTTAGCTGTAGCTTAGCTTTAGCTTAGCTTTAGCTTAGCTTGAGCTTAGCTTTAGCTTAGCTTTAGCTTAGCTTTAGCTTAGTTTTAGCTTAGCTTGATCTTAGCTTCAGCTTAGCTTTAGCTTAGCTTAGCTTTAGCTTAGCTTTAGCTTAGCTGTGGCTTAGCTTTAGCTCAGCTTTAGCTTAGCTTTAGCTTAGCTTTAGCTTAGCTTTAGCTTAGCGTTACTGTTACTACTAATGCTGCTTTCCTACGGGTTCCAACTCCTAGGTAGGGTCGCACTGGGATAATTTAGTGGGTAGGATTTTAATCGTCCTGAACTAAGCTTATAATCTTAAAGCGGAATAAGCCTGGCGGGATCCCGCCCGGCCCACGGAAGAAGACTACGTTGCTAGGCTCGATTACTTCCACTGACATCCGCAAGCCTTCCGACGGCCTTCCCCCGTCTTCCGCCTCGTTTTATTTCCGTCGACTTCCGCCGGCCAGCGTCGCGATGAAAATTCAAGGAACTTTCATTGGGCCGATGTAGTCGCACATTTGGCGTCTCTCACGGATTTTAGTTGTCGCGCGTGGATTTCTTTTGCAGACAATGTCAATCATGCGCTCTCGCTATTTTGAAAACTAACAAAACGAACCTTGACGATGTTCCAGAACATTGCAAAACATATTCCGAAAGCCTGAATGACTCCCAGAATGGACTTTGGTTAAGAGTGCTCGTTGAGAACGCGAGCGTGTGACCGGCACGCCCGTGCGACAAGGGGAAACTTCGTGCTGGTTCTCATTGGACTGGTGGTCAAGCTGAAGGGCCGTTCGCCTTCACCATCTGGTGCGCACGGGAGTGGAGTTTATGACCCACGCGCCTTCCCCAGCGCCCAGTGCTAGGGGCCGATAAGCATTGTCCGTGCATCAGCCTGGGTCAGTACAGAAGGTGCGGAGCTCAGGGACCCCCCCCGAGGGCAAGCGGGACCGCCACGACCGCGGTTGGCATTCGGCGCAAGGAAGAGGATGGAGGAGAAGGCCGTCATTCCCCACATCCAAAGCGGGGTTTTTGGTTTCTTTGCGCCCCCCGCGTAGGATCTCTCCCCCCTTCTCTTCCTCCTCCTCCTCCTCATCATCATCATCATCATCATCACACACTCTCACACTCACTTACTCACCCCCCTCTCCGCCCCACTCATTCACTGCATCGTCATCACTCACACACTCACTCATCCCCACACTCACACCCACCATCATGATCACCATATACCACCATCACTCGATCATCATCATCCACCCACTGACCATCATTATCACTGACTCATGCACCACTTCGTCATCACTCATTCCTTAGCTTGAATCTGGGGGAAGTATCAAGCGGGAGCTTCGTCTGTGAGTGAATTGTGAGGAAGTCTCAGGCGGGAGCCCCCTCCCTATGGGTCCCGCAATTCATTTTGGTAATCCGAGCGGGTTGTCCTCATACTTGTAACTGTCGTCGCTCCTGGGCTCGTGAGGCTTGAATATGGAGGAAGTATCAAGCGGGAGCTCCGTCTGTGAGTGAATGGTGAGGAAATCTCAGGCGGGAGGCTCCTCCCTATGGGTCCCACATTTTATGTAGGTAATCCGAGCGGGCCATCCTCAACCTTGTAACTGTCCCCAGGTTTGAGCTCCTCAGGCCTGAATATGTACGAAGTATCAGGCGGCAGCCTCGTTTGTGAGTGAATTGTGAGGAAGTCTCAGGCGGGAGCCCCCTCCCTATGGGCCCCGCAAATCACGTTGGTAACCCGAGCGGGTCATCCTCAACCTTGTAACTGTCGTCGCTTTTGGATTCCTGAGGCGTCCATATGGAGAACGTATCCGGCGGCAGCCTCTCTTGTGAGGGAACTGTGAGGAAGTCTCGTGCGGGAGCCCCCTCCATGTGGGTCCCGCATTTCACGTTGGTAATCCGAGCGGTCATCCTCAACCCTGTAATTGTCGTGATTTTCGGGTTCCTCAGGCCTGAATCTGGAGGGCGTCTCAGGCGGGGGCTTCGTCTGTGAGTGAATGGCGAGGAAGTCTCAGGCGGGAGCCCCTTCCCTATGGGGCACGCGCTTCGTGTTGGTAATCCAAACGTACGTGGCCATGCAAATTTTGTAACCGTCGTCACGGCTCCTCGAGCATGAAGGCGCAGGAAGTCTCGAGCTGGGGCCTCGTCTGTGAGTGGCTCGCGAGGAAGTCTCGAGCGGGGGCTCCTCCCTATGGGATCCAATTGGACACGTGTAGTACGCGCACCCTTTTGGGACGTGCTTTGCACGCATCCAGTGGGACACGTACGGTATAGTGCACGCGCACCCTTTGGGACGTGCTCCGGCACGCACCCACTGGGACACGTGTAGTACGCATTCACTGGGGTTGTCCCAATGGTCTGGCCCGCGGGGTTGTCCCGACGGCCTGCCCCCGCGACCCAGCGGCCCGCGAGGTTGACCCAAAGGCATGGCCCGCGGGGCTGTCCCAAAGGCTTCGCGAACCAGCCGTCGGCGAACGCGCGCGCGCTGGCCGAGGCGGCGACGGCGCCGAAGACAATCGATTTGCTTGCCCCGACCAGGGAGAACTGGGGGAGCACCTGGAGAAGAAGCAGGGGAAGGATGAGGACGGGGAAGGGGTAGGGAGAGGGTGAGGATGAGGAGCAAGTGGAGAAGAGGAGGAGGAGGAGGAGAAGATGGATGAGGAGGAGGAGGAGGAGGAGGAATAAGAGGAAGAAGAGGAGGAGGAGGAGGAGGGAGGAGGAGAGGAGGAGGAGGAGGAGGAGGAGGAGGAGGGGGAGGAGGAGGAGGAGAAAGGGAGGGAGGAGGAGGAGGAGAGGAGGAGGCGGAGGAGGAGGAGGAGGAGGAGGAGAGGGCAGAGCAGAAGGCGAGATGAGGGTGTCCGCCAGGGCGAGGAGGGAAGGGCTAAGGGCAAGCCAAACAGATGCTCATGCGGGGTCCCTCCGTCGGAGTCATTTTCATCGTCGCCGCTGCCATTGCCGCCGCCGTCGCCGCGTGCCGTGCGCGGTCCGACAGACGCCCGCCGCTCCCAGAGCTGCCCCGCGCGCTTCTGCGGCATCGCCGCCTGCGACGGCGACGCGGCCGGGGAGCCCAGGTGGCGCGGCCGCGTTCCGGAGGGGCGGGGCGGTGCGGGCCCGGCGAAGGGTTCTTCCTCTTCCTCCACTTCCTCCTCCTTCTCCTCCTCTTCTTTTTCTTCTTCGTTTTCTTCTTCCTCTTGTTCCTTTTCTTCCTCCTCCTCCTTCTCCTCCTCCTCCTCCTCCTCCTCCCCCTCGCCCTTTCCGCGCCTGCCTCCCGCGCGCTCCGCGCTCGTGTTCGTTTCGCGGCCGCCCGCGATCGGCGGGTTAAGCCGTGCTTCGAGGTCAGCCGAGGTTGCCGAGATCGCAGAACTTCCGCGAGAGCAGCAGTTGCCCCTGGACGGGCCTCGTTCGTCTCTTGCTCTTGGCCGCCCTTTCTTCTCTTCGGGGTCGTTCGCTTCTCCTCCTCGTCCTTTCGGCTACACGCAGGAAGGGGCCCTTCGCCCGCGGCCTTCGGGGGACGCGGCGGTCTTCAAACCCGAGTGAGCAGGCCGCTGCTGTCGCATCGTGCGCAACGATCGCCCCTCCTCCTCCTCCTCCTCCTCCTCCTCCTCTTCCTCCTCTTCCCCCTCCCCTCCCCCTCCCCTCTCCTCCTCCTCCTCCTCCTCCTCCTCCTCCTCCTCCTCCTCCTCCTCCTCCTCCTCCTCCTCCTCCTCCCTCCACGCCGGGGCCCAGGGCGGCCCTGGCCCGGCACGGTGGTGGCGCCTGGGCGCCCCCACTGTCGCGTGTGGCCGAGTAATCCTTTTCCTCGTCTTCCTCGTCCGATGTGTTCACGAGTGTGTTCGGGTCGGCCCGTCCCGTTGGCAGTGCAAGCGGCGTCTGCGGGCGAAGGTGACCACACCCCGTGGTCTTCGACAGGATATTTAGGGTGTGGACCTGCGGATGCCCCACCGAGCTTCCAGCGTGTGGTGCAATTCGCCCAGGCCCATGGTATCGGATGGTGTGAACTGACCCCGCGCTCAGAGGCCGAGGTTGGAGAGACCTTCTTGGTCTGCAAGAACACTTTCAGTGTGCGACGACCAAGCCCCTGGGCCTCGGCAGGGCTTGCCCTATCTGTGTAGTCGTCGGCTGGCAGCGTCGTGAGGCGGCGTAGCATAAGACGCGCCGCTTTTTCAACACAAGCGGCCCTTCTCGGACCCAACCCGTGGGGTCAGCCAGGTCCCTGGGTGCCCCGAATGATCTGGCTCTTCGCCGTTTTCTGGCCGCCCGTGCCAGAATTCAGTGTAGGTGGAGGAAACCCTGCTCCTCTTGGGGACCCCTCCCGCTGTCGCCACCGCTGCTGGGAATTTCTCAGCGGTTCAAGTGTTATTCATGCTGGAGTGGGAGGTTGTTGCAGCAATGGCAGTGGCAGCTTCTTTCGGCGGTGTGGGTATGGTGCGGTGTGTCGGGATGCGCCGCGGGGCTTGCCGCCTCTCAGCAGCACTTGGCCCGCTGAGGGCCGACACGCTCCATCAGCTTGGTCTGGAGCTAATCCGTGGGCATCATCTGTCATCGTCGTCGGGACCTCCAAGGGGTAGCGCAGGTGATCTCCCCCTCCCCCCTCCCCCCTCCCGTACTTGAGCGGTAACGTTCGAAAGCCATTCAGAGGTGTGCGTGCTGCTCACAGACATGCCGTGGCGCTCTCGAGTATTCGCGGTGCTGGCAGGGTCTGGCATGCTAGTGTGCAACGTGGTATTTCCAGGGTCAGGCACTCTGCGGTGCTACCCTGCCGCAGCCGCCGAGATCGTCAACTCCAGCCGCTCCCCCCCCAGGTAGCATGGTTTGCCCCTCTGGATACAACACGGCTTCAAAAAGGCCAGATAACATTCCACTCAGTGACTCGCGGCACGGTGGCGGATGGTCTTGAAGCTTGAACCAGCCAATAGCGATACAGGTGCACTGTTTGTCAACTATCAAGATGCGGCTCTCGACTCAGCGCCGCCGCCGTCTCCGCTGGCGTCGCCATCGCCGTCGCCGCGGTTGCCACCGCCGTTGCCGCCGCCAGCGTCGTTGCCGCCAGCGCCATTGCCGCCGGCGCCGTCGCCGCTGGCGCCGTTGCCGCTACTACCTTTGCAGTTGGTTTCAGCGTTGACGCCTTTGCCGCCGCCTCTGCCGCCTGCGGCGTTGCCGCCCCTCCTTCTCGTGGAGGAGGAGCAGCAGGAGGAGGATTACAGTCAACGATGATGATGATGCCACTGCTGATGCTGACGATCATGACGATGATGCTGATGATGGTGATGATGATGATGGTGGTGTGACGATGATGCTGATGACGATGATGTCGATGATATGGATACTGCTAGTGATACTGATGCTGCTCATGAATATTATCATGATGTCTATACTGATGATGATTACGATTATGATGACGTTGCTGATGCTGGTGATGGTTATTGTGATGGTGATGATGATGCTGCTGATGCTGATGATGATAAGGATGGTGACGCTGACGACAACGATAACGATGACGATGCTGATGATGATGATGCTGATGCTGATGCCGATGATGATGAAGATGGTGACGATGAGCAGGAGTATGAACAAGAGGAAGAGGAAGAGGAACATGAAGATGATGATGATGAGGAGGAGGAAGAGAAACATATCGAAGACGAAGACGACGACGGTGATGACGACGGTGGTGATGATGATGGTGATGATCATGGTGATGCTGATAGTAATGATGATGAGGATGATGCTGATGATGATGCTGATTACGAGGATCATGATGCAGATGATGCTGGTAATGATGATGCAGATTAAGGTGATAATGATGATCATGATGCAGGTAGCGGTGGTGGTGGTGGTGACGACGTCGACGACGATGCTGATGATGATGATAAGGATGATGATGATGATTGACAGGGGGAATAAAAAAGGAAGAGGAACCTGATGATGATGAGGAGTAGAAGAACAACGACGACGGTGATGACGACGAGGATGATACTGTTGATGTTGCTGTTGATGATGATGATGCTGCTGATTACGATGCTGATGATGCTGATGATGCTGACGATGAGGATGATACTGATGCTGATGACGCTGATGATTCTACTGGTGATGGCGATGGTGCTGGTGTTGGTGATGGTGCGGATGATGACGGGATTGATGATAATGATGGTGACGATGACGATGATGATGCTGATGATGATGACGATGATGCTGATGACGACGATAATGCTGATGCTGATGCTGATGCTGATGATGATGATGATGATGAGGATGGCGATGATGATGCTGCTGCTGATGAGGAGGATGCTGATGGTGATGAAGGTAGCAGTAATGGTGGTTGTGATGACGACGACGATGATGATGGTGATACTGATGATGATGGTGATGATGATGATGATGGTGGTGATGGTGATGGTGATTGTGATGGTGATGGTGATGATAATGATGCTGATGATGATGGAGGTCGCGGTGGTACTGAGGGTTGTGGTGGTGGTGGTGAAGACGACGACGATGATGATGATGATGCTGTTGCAGATGCTGTTGCAGATGATGATGATGATGATGATGATGATGATGATGATGATGATGATGATGATGATGATGATGATGATGATGATGATGATGCTGCTGCTGCTGATGATGATGATGATGATGATGATGACGACGATGCTGATGATGATGATGATGATGGTAGTGATGATGGTGAGTATGATGATAATGATGATGCCGATGATGATGACGCTGATGATGATGATGATGATGATGATGATGATGATGCTGCTGATGATTATGATGATGATTCTGATTATATGCTGATGTTGGTGGAGTTGGTGACGATGATGGTGATGCTGATGCTGATTATGTTGTCGCTGCTGCTGATGGCGACGAGGAGGTGGAGGAGGAGGACGAGAAGGAGGTGGAGGAGGAGGAGGAGGAGGAGGTGGAGGACGAGAAGGAGGCGGAGGAGAATGAGGAGGAGGGAGGAGGAGGGGGAGGAGGAGGAGGGGGAGGAAGAGGAGGAGGAGGAGGAGGGGGAGGAGGAGGAGGAGCAGGAGAAGGAGAAGGAGTAGTAAGGGACGCTGCGTCGCTTCGCAGGCGGGGCGAGCGATCGCGTGTGTGTGTGTGTGTGTGTGTGTTTCCGCCATGCCGCTGCGCGCGGGGCCGCGACGCCAAACAAGTGTGTGTGTGTGTGTGTGTGTGCCGCCTGGCAGGTGGTGGGAGACGAGGCCGTTCGACCAGACGTGCTTGTCGCTGCCTCTCAGGAGGCCTCGCTAGTCATCGTCGTCCCTTGAGGGGACGAGGATCACTTCCTCGCTCAGGGGCATGGGGGTTGAGGTATGAGGTTTTCGTGTTTCGAGGTGCGAGGTTTTCGGAGGTTTTCGTTGGTGCTCGGCGGCTGTCCAGCCTCGGGATGCTTTCTGGCAGCTGCGCCTCGCCGAGAACGCTCCCGGGGTGCCCGGGGTCGTCCCGAAAGGCCGCCGCAGAGCCGAGCCATGGCTCGAAAACCAAGGGGCAACGTCAGGAAGGAGAAGCTCAGGGGGGAACGCATCGACCCCGAATCGCCCATTCATCGCTGACATCGGCCCGTTGGCCTGCCCCGCCCAGGAGCGTGCGAACTTGCTATCGGGGACCAAGCGTCGATCTATCGGGAGTGTATCGCCAATTGCAGCTCGATGCTTTCCCCCCCGAGTCGGTTTTCACCATCGTTTCTCCTCATCCCTCCTCCTCTCTCCCCCCTCCTTTGCTCTTGCGTTTTACAGGGGTATGGCTTCCCAGCGAGCACGTCTTGACGACCATGTCTGCGTTGCACGCGCGCCTCTTCGTCCTTCTTTTCCCCTCCTCCGTCCTGTCGCCGTCCATCTCCTCTTCCTCGTTCTCGTTGTCGTCCTCTTCCCCCTCTGTCTCTCCTCCCGAATTTGCTTCTCGCCGTTCTTCTGAAGGGAGGAGGAGGAGGAGGCGCGATTGGCTTCGAGAGGAGGAGGAGGAGGACGACGACGAGTGGAGGAGCAGGATAATGTGGGATGAACGATTTGGAATGAGGACGGTGCAGGAGGATGATGGAACATGTCTACGCTGCAAGGATCAAGGTACACTGCGAGGGTCAAGCTGCCTCTATCTTCAAGCAGGCGTTCTGTTTCAACAATTCAGCACGGCAGATAACCAGGAGCGTGTCCATGCTCTTCAGCGCCTCGTCATCTAGCATCCTTTTGCGCTTTGGAACCCATTCTGTGGACACCACACTCACTTCTACCTAGTACACCCTTCGAGTGAGAAGGAGATTGAGGCGGGGGGGTCAGCTTTTGGGTCTGCGATTGACGGAGGCGGACGATGGGGGTGGAGGAGGACGTGGGGGAGGCGGGGGAGGACGAGGGGGAATGGCGGAGCAGAACGGGGGCGGAGCAGGAGGAGCACGGACAAGGAGCGGCACGATCACTACGACGTCCACTGCAGGCGGCGACGGCGGCGACGACGGCGGTGGCGCCGACCGCGCCGGCCTCCGAGAGGCGCGTGTCCGCGCTCTTCTTCCGGAGAGCGGAGTCCCTGCCCGCCGCTCGGGCCGCGGCGCCGGGTCTTCCCTGCTCTCGCCCCCCCGCGGCCGGAGCGCCGGGCCTCGGCCGGCGTCGGCGAGAAGGCTCCTTCGCTGCTGCTGGTGGTGATGCTGAGGGGGAGGAATTCGGAGGAGATGGGGTAATTAGGCTTCTTCGCTGTCGCCATCGGAGTATGACGACGGTGGCCATGATAGCGATTGTAATCGTGGTGATGCTGAGGGTTGGAATGCTGACGGTGCTGGCGGAGGTGTGGCTGCGGTGGTGATAGATCTGTGACGATGATGGCGACGATGATGATGTTGATGACGATGAGGATGACGATGATGCTGCTGATGATGATTCTGATGATGACGGGGATCATACTGATGACGATGATGATGCTGGTGATGAAGATGATGACGATGACGATGACGATGACGATGATGACGATTCTGACCATGATGATGCTGATGCTGATGCTGATGCTCTTTATGATGATGATGCCGATGCTGATGATGATGATGGCGATGCTGATAACGCTGATACTGATGCTGATACTGATGCTGCTGGAGATTATGCTACTGCTGCTGCTACTGCTAATGATGATGCTGGTGATCATGATGCTGCTGATGATGGTAAGGGTGATGATGATGAGGAGGATGATGGTAATGATGATGCTGCTGATGATGTTGATGATAATGATAATGATGAACATGGTGATGATGATGCTGATGATGATAATGGCGGTGATGATGATGACGATGATCAGGATGAGGATGAGAGGATAAGGATGAGGATGAGGATGATGATGGTGACGATGATAAAGGCTTACGCCACATCCGCCGACCTCTTACATCAGGGGGAGGGGCGATTCTGGGCCACCTGTTTGTGGCGAGCCCCTAGGAAGTTTCCATGTGCGTCCTGGCGGCGTCGCGGGGGATCTTCGGTCGTCGGAAGGCGATCACGTGAGCTTCTTGGAACGGTCTTCGGCTCCTTGGGGCTGTTTTCAACGCCGTGAAGGCCGAAGGGTCGTTTTCGCTAAAAACGTATGTTGTCTGTATGTGTTTCGACGATGTTTGGCTTGTTGGGTTATCTTGAGAGGCCTCTTGAACGGTTTTTAGGATGTCTTGGGGTCATCTTGGGCCGTCTGGGGGCCGTTTTGTATTTTGGGAAACTCGTTTAGCGACTCTGGGCCTCCTTGGACCGTGTTGGGTGCGCCTTGGGGCCCTCTTGGGTCGCAGGGGGGCCTCTATCCTTCCATGGCGCGTTCCTGGGGGTCGAGAGGGGGGGGGCGAAATCTCGGTTGGGAGTCCCTGGTGAGGGATTCTGGGTGGGGGGAGGCTCTCACGCGCTTACACTAGAGACTCACAAGGGGTCGTCGGATTTTTGTAAGGTAAACTGACTGAATTGACTTGGCTGACTGACCTGACTCAACTGACTGAGCCGTTAGATGGCAGTTGTATCTCCGGGGGTGAGGATACACCGATGGCAGTTTTAAGCAAGGGCGTGATAATATGTCGTGATGATAGATCGCTGACAGTTTTTGATCCAGCGGGTTGAGGATACATTGCTGGCAGTTTTTGGCGACGGGGTGCGCATATATCTGTGGCAGTTTCATGCCTTGGGGTGGATATATGTTGGCAGTTTTAAAGCCAGCGGGGTGCAAAGGGAGGACAGGAGGACCCATTCATGACAAGGAAGTACACAAACACGACAAGACAAAGACACATTCACGACAAGCAACAGATGCGACAGTGGGAGGCGATTCGCTTTCGCCTCCCACTTTCGCCTCCCGCTTTCGCTTTCGTTTCCCGCTTTCGCTTTCGCCTCCCGCTTTCGCTTTCGCCTCCCACTCTTGCCTCCCGCCTTCGCTTTCCGCTTTCGCTTTCGCCTCCCGCTTTCGCTTTCGCCTCCCGCGTTCGCTTCCACCTTCCCCTTTCGCTTTCGCCTCCCGCTTTCGCTGTCGCCTCCGGCCTTCGCTCGGGAGGCGGAAACGGCATTCGAAAGCGGGAGGCGAAAACGGGAGGCGAAGGCAGACGGCGAAAGATGGAGACGAAACCGGCGAAAACGGGGACGAAAACGGGAGGCGAAAACGGGAGGCGAAAGCGGGAGGCGAAAGCGGGAGGCGAAAGCGGGAGGCGAAAGCAGGAGGCGAAAGCGGGAGGCGAAAGCGGGAGGCGAAAGCGGGAGGCGAAAGCGGGAGGCGAAAGCGGGAGGCCAAAGTGGGAGGCGAAAGTGGGAGGCGACCGCGAATTGCCTCGGTGATTGTGATGATGGTGGGGTGATGGTGATGATGCTGCTGATGATGCTGCTGATGCTGATGATGATGTTGATGTTGATGTTGATGGCCTCGGTGATGGTGATGACGATGCTGCTGATGCTTTTGCCGATGATGATGAAGTTGGTTCGGATTATGATGCTGCTGGTGCTATTAAAGACGAGGTTGATGAAGGTGATTTGGGGGATGAGTATGATGATGATGGTGATGATTAGGAGGAAGGAGGATGAAGAGGTTGTAAGGACGATGCTGATAATGCTGATAATACATGTGATAGTGATAATACTGATGGTGTTCCTGGTGATGCCGATGTTCATGTTGATGGTGCTGATGCTGACGATGATGCTCATGATGATGGTGATGATTTTGGTGATGGTGATGATGATGATGATGATGATGATGATGATGATGATGATGATGATGATAATGACTCCGATGGCGCTGCTGGTGACAATGACGATGATGATGCTGATGCTGATGATGGTGATGATGATGCGGATGATGATGCTGCTGATGATTAGGATGGTGATGATGCTGCTGGTGATGATGACGATGCTGATGATGATGATGATGATGATGATGATGATGATGATGATGATGATGATACTTATGATGATGCTGAGGATGACGACGATGATGATGCTAATGGGTGTAGAATGAGGATGATGCTGCTGTTGACGATGCTGATGTTGATGATGCTTGTGATAACAACGAGGATGCTGATGAAGGTGGTTCATGATAGTGACGGTGACGGACACGGCGTTGAATGTTTACATCTATTGAAGAGTCATAGTTGATCCCCCACGTCCAGGTGCTGTTTGTTTTTTTTCAATCCAAGTGGGCATCCCGGGGCGAGCACCCTTTTTTTCCATAATAATCAAATTTGACCGTCAAGCTGCGGCCCTGGCCCCCGGGTAACAACAACAACGGCTCCTGCCTGAAACGTCCTCATACGTAATGTATGTCATTTCAAAGTCGCGCTCTCGCGAAGGGGTTCGTCATACTTTACGCAGGAACCGCGCTCTCGCGTATTGCTTCCTCGATGGATTGCGGCGCCATGCCCCCAAGACTCAGGAATCACGCTCTCGCTTAGGTGTTCTAACGATTTACTTGCGCATGTCGCTCGAAACTTCCTCCATGATGGGTTGACGCTGCAGCGACCCGCCCGCTTGACCTGGCCGACTGGGCACGCCCGACCTGCCCGTCAGGGTCCGCCCGCCCGACCCTCCCCTCCATTTCTGCCGCCTGTGCTCCTGCTCCTGGCCCCCCTCCTGCAAAACTCTCTCGTGCTCCATCAGGGCTCGAGCTGAACGGCGTTTTGGCGGCTTCGTGGACCGCTTTGTCTTCATTACAGGACGACGGAGAACGAAGACAAAACGAAAGCGAACAACACTGCTTAGCTCGAGCCCTGTGCTCCATCCTTCTCCCTCCCCCTTGCCTCTTCCCTCCTCTCTTCCTTCCCCTGTTTTAGCGGCTGCGCCAACTACACGCGGCAGGAACAGTCATGAGTGTTTGTTGTTGTTGTTGTTGTACTTGTTGTTGATGTTAGTGGTGGAAAGGGAGAGGAGGGGGATGCAGAGGATAAGGATGATGGGTATGATGTCGGTGCTGGTGATACTGAGGATTATGCTCGTGATGGTGGTTATGCTGCTGATGATGATGCTGATGGTGGTGATGATGATGTTGTTGTTGAGGTTGAGGGAGGGGGAGGAGGTGGTGGAGGAGGAGGAGCAGGAGGCGGAAGAGGAGCGAGAGAGAGAGAGAGAGAAAGAGATATATCTATATTATATTGAGAGGGGAAGAGGAAGAGCGAGAGAGAGAGAGAGGAAGACTGGCGCGGGCCGGGCACAGGTGCATCCGAATTGTCTACAGATGTTGATCGTACTGATAGCGAGGATGATGCGTCTGGTGATGAGGACTCTGGTGATGATGACTCTGATGATGATGCTGATGATGCTGATGACGATGCTGCTGATGATGATGTTGATGATGATGCTGATGATGCTTACGTATCATGATGACGGCGATGTTGATGGTCACGCTGACGGTGATGACGGCGCTGCCGGTGCTGTTGACGATGCTGATGATGATCATGTTGGTGAAGATGCGGATATTGATAATATCGAAGGTGATGACGATGAAGATGCTCTGGAGGATTATGATGATGCTGATGGTGACAATGATGATGAAAATGATGCTGATGACTCATCTTGATG